TAACATTTATGAAATGATTGTTTATTTAATATAAAATATTTAATTTTTAAATTCCAGATTTTGTATTTTCTTCATCTACTTTCCTTTTTACTTCATTACTTTCTGTTAATGGTTTAATATTCGACATAAAATAAAATAAATTCAATGCATAGAATGACCTTTTAAAATACAAATGTATTCACAACCAAGACAGAGCAAGAGCTGTCAAGCATAAATTGTAATTGATATCCACTGGACGATAACTTACAACATTGTATGATATCTTTTAATTCTGACTGGAACTTTCAACTAGCTGGGTATTAAAATATACACCCATACATTCATTTTTTACCATTCAAATATTTGATAAATATAATATGGCGTATGACTTGTTCCTCTTCAAGAATGTTTTAACTAACTAGAACTGTCCAAACGGGACAAAATACCCCCGCTGGGTTTTTCAGAAGTTTTTCCATAATGAAGATATGTTACAAAGAGTAATTATGAAATTTTTCTTCCAGTTACCTTGAACTTCCCCAAATGACCTTGTGTCAAGGTCATGACTCACCCTTGGGTCATGAACAATCTTTGTGTGAAATAAGAACCTACCAAGTTTATTCATAAGAAAGATATGACCAAACTCAAATTATGAAATTTTTTCTTCCAGTGACCTTGAACTTCCCCAAATGACCTTGGGTCAAGGTCATGACAAACCCTTAGGTCATGGGCAATCTTTGTGTGACATGAGAACCTACCACGTTTATCCATAAGAAAATAATAAGAAAAGTAAAAATCACAAGAATATATTGATAAAAAATTTCAAATTAATAATTTTATAAGAGTTAGCACATGAAGATCTAACATATTACAATAAAATATAAAAAAAAAATACTTGAATTTTTTATCAATATATTCTTATGATTTTTACTTTTAATCAGAATTTTTAATGCTAAAATTAAAATGTCGTAGTATTTAACGATAATGTAACCCTACTTAATATAAAATTTCCACCAGAAAACTTCTTTTCATATATTTAGAAAACACAACTACATGTATCTAAGTGACCTTGAACTGTTGAGAGAAGGGTAGGTTTAAATAATTATATAGATTGATCTAATTATTTTGATGCGCTAAAATATTATGTAAATCTAATTTTTAAACAGATGTACATAGATCGATGTGCAAACTGAAACAAGCCAGGGGGTCGAGCATCTCAAGGGATTTCCTCTTCTTTTTTTTTTAGAATCTTCCTCTTTCCTCTGAACAGTATATGAAAATGACTTCCTCTAGTTGGGTGTAAGTATAAAAATTAGATTTGTATATTCAATTATGAATAAAGATCAGTAACACATATATTTTTTGAGATTTTAAACAACAATCAAGGATATAGTATAGTAGTTGTTGAAGTGTTGAACTGTAAAAGTGATAAAACAATGACATTATATGCTTAGACTTTGATATACATTAACTCATTAATTATACCAATATTCACAAAAAACGTTTAATTTTTAAAACTTTTGCCCAATCTCTAATTATTTTCTGATTCCATTTTGGAGCCCATTTTTGATGCATTAATTTTGAATCATTAAATCAAATGTACACTACTAGTATTCTTAAGCATAATTCAATTTGTAAAGTTTAAAGGCAATAAAATATGTTCAAATCAACTTAATTACATTGTATATATATATATTTTCGCATTATCATTGTATAAAATCTATTTTTTAAACAGTGATTTGGGTATCCAGCATTTAACAGAGTCTGTGTTTGCGGGACTGTGTCACATAGTAGGGACCTCTGAACAGGTGACCATGAGGAGAGAAATACTAGACATGGGCGAGATTATAGTAAATCAAGTAAACTTTACAAGTTATAAGCTTGCAGCGATGTCTAGTGGAAGTTATAGGGAAGGATTCAGGCTACAGGGGACAGATACGGACGCAATGGTTTGGCCAAAGGACTACAAAATAATCTGGCAGTTGGAACAGGCTCAGAAGTATGATTTAAATAGAAAAACACTAATTCTCAGTGATTGTTCGGAAAGTCCACCTGGTTTTGCTTTACTAGAATTATTGACAGAGACTTACTGGGGATCTCTAGAGAATCCTTGTATAAGAATTAACGACAGACTCTATATATCAAGTTCTAAATGCAGACGCATCACAAATTCTGCTCTTTCTCAGTCTATAGAACATAGTCCTTGTTGTAACATTGTTATTGAGTCACATGAATATGACACAGCCGTATGTTTTGCTTGTGACTTTTGGCCTCCTCCCGCCTTCCAATGGATAAACAGATGTCACTCATGGCCCCCGCCTCGTATCATTGATGAAATACTCGGAAATGGATGCCACTTTGTAGCAGTAGGACACAAACTAGGAAATCACGTTGACAAAGAATGGAGAATTTCTTTCTCTTTGGCGGAGAAAGTTCTAGTTTCTTCAATGAGTGCCAATTCTTAACGTACGGTCTGCTAAAGTTGTTCTTAAAAGAATGCATCAACAGTGGATTAGGTTAAGAGGATAAATTACTGTGTTCTTATCACATGAAGACGGCTGTTTTTTGGGTGATTCAACTAAACATAATGCCTTACTTGTGTCCACAAAATCTCCTGCAGTGTTTCTGGGTCTGTTTTAAACTTATCCTGAAATGGGTGTTTGACGGCATCTGTCCAAATTTCTTTATTCCAGAAAACAACATGTTTCTGAGTAATATTCATGGTCAAGCACAAACGGCATTGTTCATCAGACTCCATGGATTATATGAGAAGGGTTTAGCATCCCTGCTTCACAGTCCATCCATCGTGTCCCATATTATAAGTGTCCTTCAAAATCCTAGGCAATTTGTTTGTACAGATGAACAAATTTTGGTTTCTAAGGTGGTGTTTGAATTAGATCTATTCAAGGAAATATATCGCAATTTTCAACCTAAACTTGACCTACACCCCTGTTTGAAGTTTCTCAATGCTCTAAGAAGGTTGATCGTTTTACCTGTGGGACAATATAAAAAATATATCTTACAGAAGAGCACATCTTATATACTCCAGGGCACAGCTTTTATTTTACTTAACCTTTTAACACATTATATACCACTCGAAGTGGATAATAATTTATGTAGGAATAGAGGGATATATTTCATTGACAAACCATCCCTTTACATGCTGAAATTAGCTGCGAAGTTTGGATGTATTTCTGACATGTTGTACGTTGCTATGTATTATTACAATACATTCAGATACTTGGAAACCTTAACTGTTATAGAGGCTACAAATGCCAAGTTAGCGCAGCCATATGTAGTGTTTATGGGACTTGTAAATGCACGAAGATATAGCGAGGCTGTAGGGAGACTTCCTTGGTCTACAAAGATGAGAAAGGCTGTAGCATGGAATATTTATCTAAGCAATAGAATATGTTACATTAATGAACTACTGCCTGAACAACAGTCAGGGTTACAGTGTGGATCCCCTGGAATATATATCCCCCTCTATGTTCTCTTACACATGTTAGAGATCTTGTGTTACAGACATGTAGACCCAGTGAGATCACAAAGAGCTCTAAAATCTACAAGATCTTGTACACCATGATCTGGGGACATACATATCCGAAAGAGAAAAAGACATATCATGGGAGATCCTAGGGATTTGTCAACAGATTACAGGGAATTACCAAGCTGCTCTGTATTCCTACCGACAATGCCTAACACAAGAAACATTCCACAAAATACAAACCGCTACATTAAGAAGGATACAGGAAATAATGGACCTAATCAATAGAGTCTAACATTTTATAAATGGTACATTAAGAACACAATATATTATAGAATCAGATTTTTTTGGGTAAAAAGTCTGTGATTAAAAACTTTTTTGACAATGATATATGACAGCTGTCATGATCTCCTTTGTGAATTGAAAGTTGGTTTTTAAAACGAATTTTTTATCTAAAATAAAAATTAAATAAATAAAAAGAAGAAAACGAAAAGGGAAAATAACTTTTTAAAACTTTTGAAGGCCATTTAATTCTTGAAATGCATTGTGTTTACCTGTACTTGTATATAAAAGGAACATTTGTAATACATTCAGTTTGCTAGTAAATTTTATATAACATTGTTTTTTTCCTCTATGCCCATGATCTCTGACTGATTTCAGCTCATAAAGATCATCTACATTGATTGAACAACAAAATAAGTAAATTGTCAAACAAAGCATACCACCCTCCATAATATATAGTCCAATAAAAAAAGTAACATATTATGTTTTTTCCAAACATTGTATTCTATAATATAATACATATACAAAGTTTGAACTATTAAATAAGATCAAGATCTGTTATTTCATTTCAGCATTTCATAATACATGGTATTATTACAATATTTGTACATATATTTAATAAAATCTTCAAATTTATGACAAGATTGTTTAATTGATATAAAATATTTAATTTTTAAATTCCAGATTTTGTATTTTCTTCATCTACTTTCCTTTTTACTTCATTACTTTCTGTTTGTGGTGTATGTCAAATATTTGACAATTAAAATAAGTTCAATGCATAGAATGACCTTTTAAAATACAAATGTATTCACAACCAAGACAGAGCAAGAGCTGTCAAGCATAAATTGTAATGGATATCCACTGGACGATAACTTACAACATTGTTGATATCTTTTAATTCTGACTGGAATTTTCAACTAGCTGGGTATTACAATAGACAACCATACATTTATTTTTTACCATTCAAATATTTGATAAATATAATATGGCTTATGACTTGTTCCTCTTCAAGAATGTTTAACCTAAAAATTCCAATTTGCAGAAATAGACATTATTGTTATTAAATGTAAAACAAAACAAATAGAGGTAACACAAAAATAACTTAAAAAGTTCTACGTAAGAGGCAGTACTATTAGTAACCAATAACAAAATCAAAATGAACATTAAAGCTATGACTGAACGATAAATTCACTGATAGTTATATGAGAAAAATCATGAGGACATTTTCATTCTTACATGCATGTTTTATTACGAAATGTTTTGAACATTATTTAAAAATTTGACATGTAAAAAGTCACCAATATCACAATTTGGCTGAGTCTTTTGAGGGGTTTGGGGTCGTATCCCTCGCCAGTCCCAGCAGGCATGATGACAAATAAAGCTGACATTTAGATCACCCATTCTGAAGCAGTGGCACTGAAAGACATCAAGTAGACAGTTTCCTTTCATTAACAGTTTTGCTTCTTGCATTCACACCTGAAACTCCTGCAGATCTATCATACAACCTGAAAAAAAAAAAGAGAGATCTGATGAAAAATAAAAATGAAAAAAAGTACAAGAAAAATGGAATATATATATTTTTTTTAAATTAATGAAATGATTGAAAATTGTCTATCTATTCAAACTAGAAATATGTCCATAGGACATGAATGCCCCACTGAGGGTATATTAGTAATTCAACGAGAAAATTGGTATTAGTGTACGAAATTTGATCAGAATATCTTGAATACTGATGCAGTTGAATTGCTTACACCAGTATGCATCAGCATATCAATTGTGACACTAACTTCAGAAAAGTGAGGTCAAGTTCAAAGGAAAGGCCAAGGTAAAAAAATGATGCAGCAGTTGAAAACCTCTTGTCAGAATGCATCAGCACATTAAAAAATATCATGAATGGTTTCTTTAAAATTGAACACAATTTGATAAAAGTGAGGTCAAGGTAAAACATTTGGATGTAGTTGAATTGCTTTCATCAGTATCATGTATCACCAGATTGACACTAATTTGATAAAAGTGAGGTCAAGATCATAGGAAAGGTCAAGGTAAAAAAATGTAGATGCAGTTGAAAAGATCTCTTCAGTATGTATCAGCACATAAAGTTGAAAAAATATCATGAATGGTTTCTTTAAAACTGACATAAACACAATTTGATAAAAGTGAGGTCAAGGTCATAGGAAAGGCCAATGTCAAAAGTGTTGATGCAGTATAAAAGCTCTCATCAGTATCTATCAGATTATAAAATTTGATAAAAATATCTTGGATGGTTTCCATAAAACTGAGCTAAACACTAAATTGCGAAGTGTGGTTAAGGTCAAAGAAAAGGTCAAGGTCAAAAAGGGTGATACAATTGAATAGCTCTCATCAATATGTATCAACATATAGAGTTTGATAACACTATCTTGAATGGTAGCTTTAAAACTGGTGAAGCAGTTGAATAGCTCTCATCAGTATGTACATGTATATCAACATTTAAAGTTTGATAACACCATCTTGAATGGTAAGTTTAAAACTGAGCTAAACACTAATTTAAGAAAAGTGAAGGCAAGGTCAAAGGTAAGATCAAGGTCAAAAAATGTTGATGCAGTTGCATAGCTCTCAGCAATATCTATCAGCATATGAAGTTTGATGAAAACATCTTGGTGGTGGATAGTTTCTTCGAAATTGAGCTTTGAACTGAGCTAAACTCAAAGTGTAACGGAAGGACGGAAAGACGGACATGACAAATACTGTATGCCCCGGCCATATTCATGGCAGGGCATAAAAAGTGTGGTATCACTAATTTAAATGTTTTTTTGTTGTTTTTTGTGTAATCACGACTCCTTCGAATTAAAATCCTAATGAAATAAAAAATTTCAAATAAGTAACAACTGAATATTTCGTCAATCAAAAAGTGGAATCCTCATTTATCAATATATTTTCCTCAAACCATGAAATTTGACCTCACAAAAATAAGTGATTTGAAAGTACTCAATTCCAGATCAATTTAAATTTTTCAAAGCTTGAATTTGTTTAAATCTCTGGCAATATGTTGTGTTTTTCTCAATATGCAATTTATCAAGCACAAGATTTTGAGCAGAAATCCACAACATACCTTTTAGACACAGAGAGATTATTGCATAAGATGAACTTGTTCAATGTCCTTTTTGAGCTTCTTTGGCAGCTAGTATAAGTGGCTGTAGATTGGCCAGTGGCTTTGCTAACCGAAGGAAGGGATGCTGCAATGAGCAAAAGATTCGCAAGATTCATAGGAGATTTTTAATACATGTAATCAAAATAATAAGTGTAAAACAACAGTGTAAAATCTGCTAGAAAATGAATCCTTGTTTTGGAAAAAAAAAAATCAAATGATCAGAATATGAGATACCTTTAAGAGCTCCGAGGCTGATGCTCTTTTTTCTACGTCCACCTCCAGGCATTTATCCAGGAGATCTTGGAAGACCGGCGAGAGTTTGTGTTTCTCTTTGATTTCGGGTTTACCATTTGTTGCTATAAGATACAGAGCCTACAAAATAAAACATATCATCTGAATCATTGGTTCACATTGTTATACAATTTAACTTCAGTATCTCAAATGCTGATATGTTGAAAACCATGAATATGTCAAAGTGCATGATTTGGAAGTCCCTACTTCTCATTATTGATGAGTTTTACTTTTGATATCTCAAATTCTCTTATAACTCCAAATTTTCTCTCAGTCAGATGGAGGATGAGATAAAAAGATTTGACAGTACTTTTATAATACATTATTTAAACATGCTGAAGTACTGGTAAATATTTTTGTGGAGTGAAAATTTTTTTAGAGTCAAAGCTTTAGCAAATTTTTTTGCATACCAATATCCAGTTTGTGAGAGTATTCTGTCATCAAAGTTTAAACATGTAAATTTTTAACAGAACAAATATCTAACTATTCTTTTGAAAGATTAAGTCAACTACTAAAAATGACTTGAAAACCCTAGCAAATCATGTTGTTTATATTTTTTAAAGAATGCTACAAACAGGAAATGTTTAATCTTCCCCTTCCCCTCCCGAACATACATACCAAGAATGCAAATAGTTGTAATTTTTCTAAGTCCAAGGGCAATAACTGTCAAAAATTGCTCAATCGTACCCAAAACAGACCTTGATCTAGATATTTTTATTTAAATTTCATTTCAGTATGTGCAAACTCTGCAAAAAAGGTGAAAGGAAACTCTTGGTGGACTAACTAATAGACCAACTGACAGACAGCAGCGAAGCAATGTGCCCTACCTTCTTAATAAGGGAGGCATACATATAATTATCCACTCAGATACAAAAGATGCTATATAAAGTCTTATTTTCTTAACACTGAACTTACCCTTAAAGGATTTTCATTCAGATATGGTGGTTCTCCCTCAATCATTTCAATGGCCATCACACCTAAACTCCAAATATCCACTTTTGGACCATATTGTTTCCTGTTATACAGAATTCAAACTGTAGTGACCATTCTGGATTTTAATTTCTGAGTTTATGAAATATACATACTACAGTACTAAATGTTGCCTTGACAACAACCCTTACCTAGTGACGACCTCTGGTGCCATCCAATAAGGTGTGCCCACCATTGTCGACCTTTTACTTTGTTCTGGAGATAACTGAGCACAAAACCCAAAGTCAGCTGTGAAGAGGAAATGGATTCAGTTAGCAGCTGTTTCTACGTGATACAGGAAAAATTGTCGAATCTTACACCTGTACAATTCATATTAACGTGAATTCAGGCCTTTATTTTCATTCACCTTTTACTTTTTTCCATGTATTTTTTTTTATTATATACCCATCAATTTCCTTGTTTTTGTTCTTGTTAATTTTACAGAGTTTGATCCGATTTTCCGGATCACCACACTGGTTTTCTGAATCCATATCACCACTCTCTGAAACTGATGACGTAGTACGCAAAAACATGACGTTATTTTTCTTGCGCGTTAAAAAGTCCCTTGTAATTATGCTTTGTTTTATGGATATTATACAAATGATCTCTTAAGTTTTATTCTGCTATATTTAGCTAGTTATAAGGGGGTATATAATAAATTTATCATTATAACAGTAACTTGTAGTTACAATTTCCGAAGATTTCCGTACATATCAGTACTAAATGTTGCCTGTTGCCTTGACAACAACCCTTACCTAGTCGTTGCCACAATAAGGTGTGCGCGGATCATCAGATCAAACTGAAGCGTCTAGTTAGATCTGATGATCCGCGCCTGTCAACTCAACGTGATTTTACGACCTTTTACTTTTTTCATGTATTATATAAAGTTACTGTTATAATAATATATATTCATATAACAGTAAATTCCAACACCTTGTCTATTCTGTCACATAATTTGTTACCTATTGCATTTTAAATTTTAAAGCTTTAATGCTTCTACATGTATATGTCAAGTAAGCAATCATATCCATATAGTGTAATAAATGCTAGCTACCACAATTCAAAATTACAGGAAACTTCCTGCAATCATCGTTTTAAATGAAAATAGAAAGTTCTAAGGTTCTTAAGAAAACCTACTCTAGGTTCCGAAGGAGAAAACCTACTTAATTTGACACTTCCATCCATTCCCAGCAGTATATTGTCACTCTTAATGTCTCGATGAATGACTTGGTTCTCATGTAAAAATTCTAAAGCTTGTAAACACTGAAAATAGTAAAGCACAGCAAAACTTAGTTTAAAAAAAAAAAAAACCATTTCTTCATGTTTATCATATATTTTTCAAACATTGTCTGTAGGTATACCCAAAACAAGATTTTTTTGGTGCAGCCAAATATCTGCCACATAAGTTTCTTGAGCAAGAATATAAAATGAATAATTATTTTAAAGAAAAATACATATTTAAACAAAGTTTCCACCTCTTAGATGAAATTTCATCACCTTTTGGCTTTAAATTTGAGAAAAAGATTTTTAAAGATTTTTTCCTATATATTCCTATGCAAAACTTTGATCGTCCATTTTGGCCCCCCCCCCCGGGGGTCATGATTTGAACAAACCCCAGTTTGAGGGATCAATTTTTAGCTGCTACCAAAGTTAATAAAAAGTTTATCATGGAATACCAACCCCAAACTGAGGAGTAGTGACAGGTCAAACCTCCAAAAGGAGGCCAAAAGGAGAAGGGGGGATTATACACTTATAAAGTAATACCTCTCTACAGACTGCTGCTATCTGTCCCTCATCCATACATGTTTCTGTGACAACATCAGTAAGAGATCCTCCAGCTAAATATTCCATAACAACCTGTGAACAAATGTCAAGTGTATATTTCATATTTCTTATCCTCACAAGGTGGCCTACTAACACTGCATTTATAAATGCCCAAGTCAATTTAAAATGGTGATGCCTATCTCAACCCCAATATGAACTCAAATTCATTTCATTTTTATTCTGGAGAGTGCACCATTATAAATACTATTATATTTAATATTGTAGTAAAAATCCGCCTGAATAAATTGAAATATTAACTCAAAATATTTCACTATTAATGCTTTTCAAGTACTGATATGCCAAGTACATGCACTACTACAATTTAATCTATTTAGATGAATCGATTTCACAATGCAACTAGAACCAAGGGTGATAATGAAACCTCCATTTCAAGTTCAATGATTACTGCATCAAAATATATGGACCAGAATTGTAAATTTATGCCCCTTTTAATTCAAAACCTATTAATATGAAATAGAAAATACAGCTGAACTTGGTTTTTATCTCAAAAACACTGATATCTTGAATGTTAACGTGATTTGGCAGTCCCACCTACTGGACATAAAATGCAGCTACTTAAAGTTACAGTGAAACTTGTTTAATGTTAACATGTATGCTGTTAATTTACATACAGAGCAATTTCTTATCTTTCTTTGCAATTAAGTTCATATAAAAACAGTGAAATTGGAATTACATGTACTTTGAAGTCATTCAAATTACTGCTATCAAAGGATTGACTTAATTAATTTTAACTGTAATTTTATCTTTTTAATAAATGACCTGTGTACACTGAATTTTATCAATTACATTTCTAAAGCTTTACAAAGCACCACAGAATAATTTGGTAACTTTATCTAGACTTTGAGTAACAATTAATACACCCTGACTAATGACTATTGAATAATATCAAGGTGATAGCAGCTAGCCTAACTGCTAGACAGTTTCGATATACATGTATAGGTTAACCTTTTGAATGCAGAGTAAGATATATGCTTATTACCTTTGCATATGGCTAGCACATACGTGATCAACTTCAAAGTGCCAATCTAGCACTACACAGCAATCTTAAACATAGCCCAATACTAGAAATTATGCTTGAAATTGAGCTTGGTTTTATTTTACTTACCCATAATTCCTCCCCCACCAAATAACTATCCAGATAATTCACAATATTGGGATTCTGATTTTCCCGCATCACTAAAATTTCATTAATAATAAGTTCTTTCTTTGGTTGCTGAGACAAGTTCATTGTTTTAATGGCCACTTCCCTTCCTGTGGCCACTTCTATTGCAATATACACAGTTCCTGATGCTCTGAAAATGTCAGAAAATAAATGTCAACTTCTGAAAAAAAGGTGCAAAAATTCATAGTTTTAATTTCAGTATTTAGGCATCAAATTAAAAATGCTAATTAACAAATGCAGCAAAGTGCATGTATGTCAAAAGTCAATTATCTCTTTATCTATCGGAAATATTTCAACTTTTGACACTACTTAATTTTTAAAAATTAAGATAGGATAGATTTGACATACAGTAGAACACAACAAGAGACTCAGTTTTAAAATACCATACAAAAAATAAATCTTATAAAGAATATCATTGTTAAAAAGAGACCCCACTTCAGATTTCAATAGCATTTTTATTTCTTAAATTCTTGTAATATTCAAAAGTATACATTTATTGACTGAGTTTGAGGGCAACATGCGTTTTGTCAAACCCAAGAACAAAACTGTCTGCCTGAGGCCATTAGGCCGAAGGCACACAGTTTGGTTCCAGGGTTGACAAAATGCATTTTGCCCGAGAACATAGTCAGAAAATGTTTTGTTATACCTTTCATTTTAATTTTTTGACATAAATGTATTTTGTACTATCGTCCGTGATGTAACCTTGGGTCTGTCACTTTTGAACACCAAAAATGAAAATGAGATTAAGCTCCGCCCATTGTGTGACGTAAGCGGTCCACATCTCATTAAGCGGTCCAACATCTCACTTAGCAATCCAAAATCGATTTTTTTTATGCCCGCTCAGCAACACATTAGAAATGTTAGACTTTTTTAGTAGAGATTTGTATAGGAACATATTTTTAAAGGTATAACAATATGCTTTAAATTCAAATGGAATACAGTTTTCTTAAAATAGAAAATAATTTTCAAACCCTTACCCTTGGCCTATCTTTTCCATTTTTGTATATTTCCTGTTAGGATCACCGATGGTCACAATTGTGCGTAATTTTTCTAGAATTTCTTCATCTGTCATTTTACGTTTCTTAGGTTTATCATTTTTACTTGTAGCAATAGCACCATTTGCTTTTTCTTCGGGTTCAATTGGCTTTGTATACTGGAAAATAAATCAGACATAATAAGAATATTATTATTCTTGTTTGTAATATTTATTTTGTCACATGACATTGATGAAATATTTTTTATTCAATATGAATACATTATTCTGTTTGTTTGATTCCTTAGTTTCACAAAACTTCTCTGTATTATTATATTTCTGTAAATCTAAATATGGTTCAATAATTATCTTCCTTCTGTTAATATGTAACTTGCAATAGACTTTGTTTTTTCAGGTCTGTTGGTATGTAACTCATAGTAGATTTGTGGGGTCTGCTCTTAGAAAAAAACGAGTGGCTACAATAGACTTTGTTTTTGTCAGGTGGCTTTATAACTTCTGTCGGGTGGCTTTACAACATACAATAGACTTTGTTTTGTTGTGTTGGGTGGTAACAATAGACATAGGTGGCTTTATAACTTACTATAGACTTTGTTTTGTCGGGTCGAGTGGCTTTATAACCTACAATAGACTTTGTTCTGTCGGGTAGGGTGGCTTTATAACTTACAATAGACTTTGTTTTGTTGGGTCAGGTGGCATTATAACTTACTATAGACTTTTTTTGTCGGGTCGGGTGGCTTTACAACATACAATAGACTTTGTTTTGTTGTGTTGGGTGGCTTTATAACTTACAATAGACTTTGTTTTGTTGAGTCAGGTGGCTTTATAACTTACTATAGACTTTGTTTTGTCGGGTCAGGTGGCTTTATAACTTACAATAGACTTTGTTTTGTCGGGTCAGGTGGCTTTATAACTTACTTTAGACTTTGTTTTGTCGGGTCAGGTGGCTTTATAACTTACAATAGACTTTGTTTTGTCGGGTCGAGTGGCTTTATAACTTACAATAGACTTTGTTTTGTCGGGTTGGGTGGCTTTATAACTTACTATAGACTTTGTTTTGTTGGTTGGGGGTGGCTTTATAACTTAAAATAGACTTTGTTTTGATGGGTCGAGTGGCTTTATAACTTACAATAGACTTTCTTTTGTTGGGTTGGGTGGCTTTATAACTTACTATAGACTTTGTTTTGTTGGTCGGGGGTGGCTTTATAACTTAAAATAGACTTTGTTTTGTCGGGTCAGGTGGCTTTATAGCTTACTTTAGACTTTGTTTTGTCGGGTCAGGTGTCTTTATGACTTACAATAGACTTTGTTTTGTCGGGTCGGGTGGCTACAGGAGGGGGAGCTTCTTCTTCCTCTTCCTCAGAGGCATGTGTTGCTTGTTCCACCTTTTGCTGTAAAAGGTTAACATAAAAAATAATATTCTTGTGAAGTGTTGACTTAATAGCAATTTTTACTCGCAAAATAATTTCTTAATATCTGATTTTTGTTCAATTTTGACTTACAGGTGATATAACAACGTTGTTGGAGAATTTGTCTGACAGTGTGGGACGCATGGAATCAGCACCTGCAGGTACAAAACAAATAATAAGTTTTGTCAAATTTCAAATTGATATCTAAATCAATAAAAAAATATCTCCTAAATTTCTCATTTGAATGTCTCCAAACATCAGTGTATTAGGCAATCAAAATGTAACAGTTGCATCAGAATTACATTTCAAGGGGCTGATTATATTTGTGCTGAGGCCAAACTGGGCTTACTACTTACTAGGTGGTTTGATATTGGTCATATACTTCATTTTGGGTTCCTGTTGCTCTTTGTTTGTGGCATCATAATAATTTAGGACATCTAACACAGCCTGTGGATTCTTCTTCTGCTCCATCTTAGAGATGTTAGACTGGGAAAGAAGCTTGGCCCACGACTCAGGCATTCCCTGCGAGAGAATACCAACATTTATTTTTAGAACTTCAAGGTCTCATAATAAAAGGAGGTTATAACTTAATGTTTTACTTTCTTTGAATATGAGGTTTCCCACCATTTACCATTATTTATAAGAGTCCCCCATCCAGGTCATCCCCATCCCCAGCTGTCATGAGTTCTGATTGGGTTTTCTTTTTTATATTGAACATGGTGAAGTAACTTCCCAATTATATGTATACATGTATTTAAAAATGAGCATCACCAATCATACATTTTTTTTCCTATCTTGACTGTGTTTTGGCAGATGATGATAGAAATGGGAAGTAGTAAAGAGGGAAATCATAATTTTTTTTTAAAAGTATGAACAAGTATCTCTGTAAGTTTCAGCTTGTATTTACATCAATTTGGTCCATTTATGTCAGGTTTAAAATGGTTACACTCATCATGCTCATTTTGTATCACATCATGTGTATGAGGATAGACTTATGTTTAGCTATAAATCAGAAAGGATATTTTGCAGGATTCATGCATATCATTAGGAAAATGTAAACATTATTAAGAGACCAAGAGTCATATGAATCAACTGAGACAAGTTTACACTACAGACTTCCCATTTCTTATCGCAGACATCAACATTAAATGTTGTATGTAACCATATGTAATGTTTTTATTTTTTTTTTATCAAGAGCCCCCATTTACGACCAAGCCAATTATGACATTCTTCTAGCCTTTAATCCAGCTCTTTATCAGCTAATCACTAATATCCCTCTTGAAAAACAAAGACACAAGTCTACCGGGTTTTCAGCTCTCTTGACCCACATACTAGGGCACACTTAGGCCACGCCCCTCCCACCTCCTCACGACCACAACGGCTTATATACCGACACTCTGATCTTCTGAAGTGCAGAAGTTCTTTCATAAGAATGTTACATAGTATAAATGGCTCTGAAATTGGACCTACAATTTATAGTTACATAATATTGCAAGGATTCATACTTACATTATGTGAACATAAGAAAGTAAGTCAAGGACTGTTCATATGACAGAATTTTATACACCATTCATTAATTTCCGTAAAAAAGTAACTTTTTTTCCTTTTCAACAAAAAGACACCTTTAATACACACCGTGAATTCTCCAGTATGGGGGTCGAAGCCCACGTGGACTGTGTGCTCAAAGTTGGAGGGATTTGAAATAATTGGCTTCTCATTTTCTTTCAACTTTTTGGAATTTAAGCCTGTAAATAAATATTTAAAGATAATGATTAAGACATAACTAACAAACCATATATATGAAAAAACTTAACTATTTATTTGGTCTATATTTCTATGTCATGCAATATAAACCAAAATACATGTATAATTCATTTTCATTGAAGCATCCCCTGTACGTATACATGTAGTACTACATGATACTACTGCTTATTAGGTTTTTTACCGTCTGTCTAATGAAATATAACGGGTAGATCAATCTCTTAGACTGTAAGGCAGAGCCTCTTTTAGTAATTCCCAACCTGAATGCCTATTGGATCCACCACTCATCCTTCTCTGTAGAGTAATAAACACATGAGTCCAACTGGATCTCTTTTTCTCACTCATATTTTCCATTCAATAAACATAAAAAATCCAACAGGGGAATAAAAATTATAAAACAAGCAGAATCAGTCACATTCTGGCATCACATCTCCAGAAATTCCTCTGACACACCTTGTAGCATCACAGTTAACACTAAATTTACATCTGAGCACTACAGGATGATCGAGGACTGTGACTACTGCACTACTGAAAATGAGAAGCAATTGACACGGGCAGAACTACTGTCGCAATACAATGATTAGCCTATTAAGAGTGTTGTGAACACGTCAACAGACAGCATCATATTGTATGTACATAAAAACACAACTATCACGTTTCTCCCCCTGGTCATTCTGAAACTTCCAATCCACAAAAGTTTGGAATCTCTAAAATATGTCTTCCAAAAAAGCGAGCAACGTCTTCAACACATCCCTAAACACATTAATATTGAAACCTCTATGACTACTACTCACTAGGGATTGTAAACAATATTAGATACAGACAATATATCAAACACTTCAACATTCCTAAGATTCTGATTCCTGTTTTTCTGGTGCTCAGGCATTTGTCACCCCTAGCAGTCTCAGATGTGTTTACAGGGCATCAATCATCTCAGGGGAAAGCATGCTTCTAAAGACTTAGATAAGCACACTGTACCCAGATGTGATATAATTAAGATAACCTTTTATATATTTCACAAATGACTCCAAAGAACATCAAAACCTTTGCTCACATTAATATGGCTTCCACTTTGACTTTCCCCTGCATATGTCATGATATAAAAGCTGGGGTTAGAGTCAGAGGAATCTTGGATTGATGACAGACTTGAGCCTACGGCTTTGAATAATATGTTAAAGCAATATTCAAGGTATCATTTCCTTATATCCCAAAAGGAAAATCTAATGAAGCAATGGATTTTGGATCAGAAATGAATGAGAGATGCACTTGAGTTTTGCCCTTAAAATCTTCAAGTTAGTATAAATGTCTGTTTTCCTTCAGCAGTTGATTTGCTAAGGTCAAAGTTCTCTGTACGAATTGATATCTTTGCATCAGAAAAAGCCGTAAAGTTCATTCACATGCAGCAAAAACATGTATCATAGTTCCAGAGCAAAAAAACATCCAGGAAAAAAATACAAACCCTTCGTGTGCCAAGATTAAATGATCCCGTATTGTGCAGCATTGACAGATGCAATTCGTGCATATATACATTGAGATCGAACATTTTCTTATGTTTTACATAAGTTATTTGCAGCATTAATTTTTGTCCAAAAACCCAATTAAAGGATGAAATCAAGATCTTATCTATTTTAAGACACCCCCCCCTCCTCCTTTCCTCTGTACTACATGTACTATAAAGTCAGAAAAATCCATTTCTTAGGAATAATTGAAATAAAACCATAGCCATCAAATAATGACCTGTACAATAGCAATACATATAAATGAAACACCATGACAAAGACCTACTTTTGGGAGTTTTTGTCTTTTTCCTTTCGTCAGGTTCTTTTGGCAGTGGTTTATGTTCTTGTGGCAAATTTCCATCCCTGAAAAACAAACGAAAGCACACATTAACACCTAGTGTTTATAAATAATTCCCCACCACTTCAAACAGAGCTGTCTGACAAAAAAGATACTTCAACTGGCATAAATATTTTAATACACTGATGTGTGCATTCTCTCTTAGCTTAACCAGTATTTCAACATATAATTACAGTTGAACTTCCTGATCTTGAACAATGATATCTTGAATACCATACATATTCCAAGGTGAAAGTTGCAACCACTTTTTCTTTAATATGTATTTTACCCTCAATACCTAGAACCTTAAATAAATTTCCAACTTTTTTTCTAGCTTCCATCAAGTTTGAGATAATGAAGTTTGACTGTACATATATGAATTTTTTAAACACAAAATTTCAAAAAATTTGGGACTGTAATGTTGCTGATCAGGTTATGCATTGTATATATATATATATATATCTTCTTAAAAAGTTTCATATCCATGCAAGACATGAAGATATCTATGCAGGCTTACATACAATTTAGACAACAGCTGAAGCATTTATCTGTAAAACACAGAATTATAAGGCCGTGGCCTGCAGTGAAAATGATTTCCCATAATTCAAGACAGCACTTGATTTTCTGAGCAATTAGTTTTATCAAGATGTCTGTAGGGGGTTCCCTAACTGTTGAGTGTGCAGCATCTGTTCTAAACACACTACATTCCTCACATAGCTGCATTAGAAATCCCTAGTTAGACAGTATCTATTAACCAATTGTAAAAAAAAAAAAAAAAAAAAAAAAAACAGCTTTCATATTTCCTTGGTTAGATAACAACATCTTAACATGCCGGGGTGTACAATGTCTTCTTTGTGCATGTACATAATAGATCTATGTATCATGTATTTCATGTTCAAAAAATCATAAAATAAACAAGTGACCTATAAAGGAAATTCAGCTGAAACCTAAACAACTTGCTGTTATACTTCTGACATTTCTCAGTTGAAATAACCTGTGTAAACTTTTAATCTGAAATTCCTTATTTAAACTTTCATGCCTGTTGATCATTGGGTCAGATAACCATGATAACATTTACAAATGTTTTTATAAGTCAAAGAAGGGCAAACTATGTCTGCCAGGGCCCCTTGTATGCTCATTATGATTCCCATCCTTTTAAATCCAAGATAAATCAGCAAATTTTAGACACAGCCATCTAGATATGTGTTTAAGTTTATGGATAAAAAAATAACCCTTTACTTACAATGTTAATCCAGAGAGAGAGAAAGATTCATTTTGAGTTAATATCTACATGTGCATGGGGGTTACTGAGTTTATAACATAACTAGTACACTGTCAACTAAGTACTAACTAGTAGATAGTTGTATATACATAATTACATCTCCTGTGAGAGCCAATGTTTACTGTTAGCTGGCATCTAGCAGAGGTTAACCACTAGGAATTTCTCATTGGCTAGTTACTGTGTCTGCTGATAGACTTTTTTACGATCTTGATATGAGAGTATCCCCCATTGAAGAACTATAAGAATCATTCAGTAGGGAGTTCCTTCATTATCATGACACTAAGGAGGGGTTAAACACTAGTATAAAATATTCTTTTGTTGTTTCCTCTTCCCTACACTCTTAGGCTGTTAAAGAAATTACACTCAAGAACATTTGAAACTTTTCTTGGTCACACAGGTTAAACAATCAATTTGAGAACCCTATATCACTTACTGTCATTAAAAATTTAATACCTCCCTAGTTGGCAAGTACAAAAACATCTGTGTATAAAAAACTACTCACCTCATAGTACTAGTGTGCCTCACGGGAGGGGCTGGGGGCTTCTCCCCCTCATCAAAACTGTCCGACATGGTCAGGCTGGCTTACTCAGCATTCATCAATACTTGCTAGTCATCAACAGGCTCAGAATGCAGGCCTCTGAGAGAAAAAAAAATCAACATGACTCAGTTTCAATGACCAATTATCAGGCAGCATGTCATCCCCAATAACCAGGCATGCAGCAACATTCAATCCCCCCAATGTAATCTTTTTATTGATTCCATATTGAATCATGCACTGTCTCCTAAAAATAAAAAACAAAATCATTAAAGGAAAGCGGTACTTTTATAACGAGGCATTAAATACTATACTTCACAGAATCAATAGAGTGATTCATGTCTTAGGCCAGATAACTCACTCAATACTACATGCAGAAAGTTGTTTATATCCTCAAATAAATAAATAAAATTCCCCATTACATGGTTTATACGAACTGTATTTGTTACACACAAAACAACAACCTCTGTAAGAAATTTTTTCTTGTTAAAACCCATATTGTATCCCAAGAATATGTACAACAGAGCTCTGCTAATCGTTGTTGGAGAAAAAAAAAAACAAACCTGAAAATGTTTTGTCTGCTACTGGGGGAAAATTTTGGAATGTTAATGGACGACCTCAAGAATATAATGTCAATTAGACCTTTCAACCAGTCTAGATCACCATTACACAATGCATGTTTAAAAACTGCCTATCCTTTGTCATTCACATACACCAAAGAAAATAAAAAGAAACCACAGTGTTAAAATTCCACAGGTATTGAAATCCAAAAAAATTTATGCACTTGTACTCCAATACACAGAAAAAACAGGAAGCCGTACAACAATACAGGTAGAATTAACAAGCTTAAATGTCTTCTATGCCCCTGGTCAAACCCCTTGACCCGACATTCCTTCCTTCACTTTTGTGTGCAGTTTTATAAGCCCTTTGCCAATGTAAATAAGATCGGCTCTATAAAAAAAAAGCTAAGAGAATGACTCATCTCTCTCTCTCTATGGAGCGGTGCATATTATTGATGACTTGTTATCATTGATCTGGGAGAGAGAGGTGGCATGCTACAGGATTTGTAAGAATTCTAAACTCCCTTAATCCAAAAGATTTTTTTTTTAAAAAAGAAAGTGGAGATTAGGCCCAAAAAACAAAAGAGGTACTCCCACATACAGAGATGATGTCAAAGGAAAAATCTCATAAACAAATGACATTTAATTTGTTAGCTGTCTGACTGTATTTATTAATTCCTGTTTTTACTTTTAAATCTGTAATTAAAAGCCATATGCACTGAACTTTTACAACAACACATGAAATCACCTGCTTTATAGAGTGGTATGCTTAATTTAACACCAATACAATTTCAGATCTATAAGATTTTTTTAAAAAATAATTATCAAATGCTTAATTGATTTTGTTTGATATCTGACATTTTCAACAAACTCATAAATCTCGATGGATTTTATGACAGTCACTATCCAGACAGAGGAAGTGAAAATTTCCCCTCGTATTATGTAATTAGCTACATGGAGGTTATCGTTTTGTCTGATGGCACAGTTTCCAATCGAAGGAAATCTGATCAATAGAAAATGACTCATCTCTCTCTTGGCTTCTGCAGAAAAGCCATTGAGCCAAACCCCCTAGATTACAAGCTGCATTGTGTAGAAATGGTTTTATGAAGGACACAGAGCAAAAGTTCTGCATATGTCTTACTATTAAAAACACCTGTAATCTGTAATCTCAGAAATCCTCTTTCATGATCTTGAAAATCATATCTAATTAAATGTTTAAACATGCACAAAGTAAGCTATCATATATACACACATTTTATGTATGTTTTACCATTTACACATCACTGTTGCACAGAGAAACATTTCATATGATTCATATAAGTGTCATTGTACTCTGATACAAAAATTATGAGAAGCAGTGGGTGGGTACACATGCAAGTATATCTCTGAAAAACAGACATATATCAGTATCTTTTCTCATGCATGAGTTTTTTAACATGTTTAAATCAACATTCATTACACAAATTACCCTTGCATATAAAACCTAATCTGATGATTAAAAGGTGGGGGGTGGGGAAGCTCTGCTTTCAATCTCAAGAAAATATATCGCAACAGGTGCAATACAGCAATACCAGGCATTCTACACACATGCAGCATTTTAAAAATTTTTCATATTTTCACTCAAAAATTATCACCTCTCTGAAGCTGTGATTATCAATGATAGTTTCCTTTCCTACAATAAATTATGATATCTGTATTTTGCTATATTTTAAGCCAATAATGTCACATAAGGAAAAGCCTCTTTTTCCTCAATTATAAACTAATAATATGATTTATCTGAATATATCCGAATTTTTAAGCCATTATTCTCATATAAGAAGGTTTTAGGTTAGAGTTTGGCTACATCATTATATGTGTATCATTTCTGCTTTGATAATTACTTATTAAAAAGTTTGATTACATATATATAATAATTAAAGGGTATTCGTGTCAGGAACGAAGTGGTACACTCTATCTATGATCTAATATGTTTAACAGGCAATTTCCCCTTATAATGTTTGAGTTGTGACATCACACTGAAAAGCAGTATTTGCTTACTTAGTAATTGACAATGCCTCCACTCTATTCAACCAAATGCATGCCTTTCATCACTGGAAATCAAGTTTATCAAGCATCTAATAATCTGTACATGTCATGAGAAGCAACCTACTGTTTTTCCTAGCATATGTTTTCAAAGTCTAACAAAATAATATGAAAGAACAGACGTGTGGTAAAAGTTATGTTCAGTATGATCTCAAGGTAACAACAAGATAGATTTTAAATAAAAATGATCAAAACATCTGTTCCTATGGTGATGTTCTTTGAATTCCCTTTCCTATTTGGATGAACTATCAGATAATAAAATAATTCTGACATTTTCTAGTGAGAGTGTCATATATTGCTATCAGAGTTGTAAAAGTAGGGACCTATATTAGGGTCCCTGATATTACCAGATAGAAGTCTCTCATATAAAGTTTAGTGCCATATCATTTTTGAAATGTTTAAATGCAGGGGTGCAAATTTAGGCCTATATCTGGACTGGCACTCAGGCCAGTCAAGGCCATTGAGCAATGAGGAAATTTTTCATACCAGCACATACTGTGCCACAAGACCATGGATTACATGGTCTCCTCCAAAGGACTGGGCTTCTCATCCCACAGTAGGATTCAAATCCGATGATGTACGGATTTATTCTTTCTTGGTGACTCTAGAGCAAATGCTCTAACCACTGCACATTTTGCAAGTTATTCTCTGGTATTTTGCTAGTTAACATATGACTTGAATCTTTTCACCCCTCATTATTAGATCATCGATCTAACTACAGTCAAATCTTATGATCTCCAACTCAATTGGACCAGGAAAAACTTCAAGATATCTAAAGATTCAAGATATCAAGGATAAAATACAGGAAAAAAGGTGATTGGAACTTCTTAATAATTTGATATATCCATGGTATGCTTAATATTAGTGTCCTTGATTTCGAAATTCTTTTTTTTTTTTTTTTTTTTTAATTCACACAAATACAGCATTATATACATATTTCAAAAGAAACAGAATGATGTGTTTTTTATTTTAAGAAAGATAGAAACAATAGAGAGAAAGATAGAGGGGAGAGCAGAGAGAGAGAGAGAAGAGAAAGAGAGTGTGTAAAGATTCAAGTTAAGAGAATAGCAGATTCCATCTGTTCCACTGGGTATCAAACTTTTCCTTTTTACCATTCTTATAAGAGATAATTTTCTGTGTTTCATAATGAAATTTCATTTGTGATATTGCATTTTGTAAATTAATATGTTTCTTTGTGCACCTGGCAGTATAAATATAGTATTTAAGCCAAAGTAGAATAACATTTTGAATATCAGTATTTTCCTCAATAAATCCTAAAATAAAAGATTTCTTAGTAACATTTATCATTAAACCAGTTTTTTCTTCAAACAAATGTACAAATTCTTCAAGAAAAAATTGTGTATTATCACATTCCCATAAAAGGTGTTCTATTGTTTCATCCTCAGTATGACAAAAACTGCATAATTTACAGTCATTTTTTTTTATTTTGAATAAAAATGAATTTGTTGCTAGGATTTTGTTTAAAATCCTATATTGGAACCATTGTAGTTTACAATCTTTTGTTACCCTAAAGGGTATCATGTGAATTTTTTTCCATTCCTGAGTTCCAACTTCTAAAAGCTCACTCCAATAAGTTTTACCTGCTGTGACAGAAGAATTTTGAATAAGGATTTCATAATAGCATTTAGATTTTCTACATTTCGTTACTGTGTAGATATTAGACATAATCATGGGATTAGTGAGCTTTTTTTATTGTTTTTTCCTGACCGGAGTTTTTCATCCAATCCTTTATAGCATGATTAATACTACTGAATTCTAAGAAATTAATCTTTATATTTGGATAGGTGTTACAGAACTGCTCATAAGAAAATAGTGAACCATCTTCATTAATGATATCATTAATTTGTCTAATGTTGCTCTCAAACATTTGTTTATTATAAAATGGTTTTCCGCCAATATGCAAATGTGGATTGTAAAATAGTGGTGAGTCACCAGCAACATCAAACTTTTTCTCAAGATTTTGTAACATTATCCAGGACTTAAAAACATCTATCCAAAATTTATTTTTTACTGTTTTTAAAAAAGTTGAAGTATATTCAATTCCACAACTTATAAATTTGTTCAAATTAAATTTAGGAATGAGGTTTTCCAACCCTCTATTTGTAAAAATTAGATGTCTTATCCAAAATAATTTCATGGAGGCTATAAAAGATGTCAGATTTAACATTTTTAAACCCCCCTCTTCATATTTTTTTACAATTACTTCTTTCTTAACCCTATGGGTTGAATTATTCCATATAAATGAAAAAAACATTTTTTCCAATTCCTTACAGAACGATTCAGAAGGATTTGGGATGGACATTAAAATATGATTTAGTAATGGTAGAACTAATGTTTTAATAACAGTAATTTTCCCTATGGGAGTTAAATACCTTTTCTCCCATTGTTTAAGTATTGATTTAATATGTACCAGTTTTGGTTCATAATTTAATGGTAGTATTTTATCCAATTCTACATCAAAATGTATTCCAAGAAGAGTAAATCTGGTAGTTCCCCAGTTAAGTTTGTAATTTGGAAGCAAAATTTCGTCACTAAACTTTTTTGAGCCTATCCACACTATGTGAGTTTTGGAATAATTAATATGTAATCCCGACATTTCTGAAAATGTCTTAAGTGTTTGCAGTGTTTCTGTGAGTGACGTTTTACTACCATCAAGAATAATTGATGTATCATCCGCTAACTGAGAAATCTTTTTTTCAGTATTGTTTATAGAAATACCTTTAATATTTTTATTTAATCTAATTTGGATTGCTAAAATTTCTGCACATATAATGAATATATATGGTGACAAAGGATCGCCTTGCCTACAGCCCCTCTGAATGTTAATTCTATCAGAAAGGTTACCACCTTGGTTTATTGCAGATGTAATATCTGTATTAAAAAGGGATACCCACTTCTTGATTGAGGGTCCAAAGTTAAAAAAGTTAAGTGCGCCTTGTATAAAGTTCCATGAAAGTGTATCAAAAGCTTTTTCAAAGTCAATAAGTAGTAATAATCCAGGTATATTTTCTTCCTCAGTGTAATGCATTATGTCATAAATTAACCTGGTGTTTTCTCCTATATATCTATTGGAGATAAAACCTGTTTGATCTTCATTAATTATTTTATCTAAATAGCATTTTACTCTGTTTGCAATGGATCCAGATGCAATTTTATATACTGTATTTAGTAAAGTAATAGGTCGCCAATTCTTTAAGAATTGTCTAGGTTTATCACCTTTTGGTAACAAAGTAATGATACCATGTTTTTGTGTAATAGATAGACTGTTATGCTTATATCCATAATTAATAGATCTAACTACAAAAAACCCAATATATTTCCAAAACATCTTGAAGAATTCTGCAGAGAAACCATCTGAGCCAGGGGATTTATTTGATTTCATTTTGTAAAGTGTAGAAGAGGCTTCTTCCATAGTAATTTCGCCTTCTATAGATTCTGATTCTTTGTATGAAAGCTTAGGAATTTCTTTATTTCTTAACTCTTTGAATATATCAGTATTTATAGTATCTGTACTTTTTGTATATAACTGTTCATAAAAACATTTTGCTTCTCTTAAAATTTCTGTTTGGTCATAAATAACATTTCCATTATCATCTTCTAATCTTGGTATTATCTTACTTGTAAAGTTTCTTGATTCTAATGAACAAAAGTACTTTGATGGTTTTTCACCTTCCTCTACCCATTTTGCTCTACTTCTGATATATGAACCCTGTAGCTTATGTTTTCGAATATTTTCTAATTCTTGCTTATTACTTAATAACTTATCAATATTATTTTCACAGACATTTTCTTCCAATATCCTGATATTTTCTATCAATTCTTTCTCCTTATTTTCCTTTTTCTTTTTTATGTAAGTTGCATAGGATATAGTTTTACCCCTTATTTCAAAGAGCAGGGTTTCAAGAAATAATTGATCATTTATAGTGAAGGAAATATCTGAATCTAGGATATTATTTATGTTATCCATATTGTATACTGGAGTTGCATACTGTTTTTTAACATCTAAGATAACATTTTTAATGCATTCCAAATAATTTTCATCATAAAGTAAAGAATTATTAAACTTCCATAAACCCCTTCCTTTCTTAAAATCATTAAAAGCAATAGACAGTGATATTATGGAGTGATCTGATCTGTAGCTAGATTCTATAGTGCATTTTTCTAACCCTGACAAGAGTGACTCAGATATTAAAAAGAAATCTAAACGACTTTGTTTCAATTGAGTTTTTCTTCTCCAAGAGTATCTACGAACATTTTCGTGTAATTGTCGAAAAGGGTCAATATAAGAAAAATTTTCTATTATTTCCAAAATCTTGTCTCTTGCCTTTGGATTATTAATCGATTTATAATTGTAATAATCTAAGTCTGGGTTTATAACTAGATTAAAATCACCACACCAGATAATATGACTACAATGCATATCATCGATATGATTTTGAATGTTTTCATAAAAGAGTGGTGTGTCAATATTAGGACCATAAATAGTACATAACAATACTTCATGGCCCTCTATACATGCTTTAAGTAAAAAATAGTTTCCATCAACATCACCCTTTTCTGCAATAGGTTTAAAATCAAAGTTATTATTAATAAGAATTGCGACTCCTCTGGAGTTTGTAGTATATGAACTAAAAAAGCACTGGTATCCCCACAAATTTCTTACTTCATTTTCTATATCACAGGAGAAGTGTGTATCTTGCAAGCAATAAATATTATATTTCAACGATCTTAAATAATTAAAAACATCCTTGCGTTTTGCAATATCGCCTAAACCTTGGCAATTTACGGATATAATTTTAACCATTTGGTATAATAATTGTGCAAAAACTGTTAGATACCCAACGGAACGATGGAGGTGAACTCATGATTTAAATATGTAGAGATTCAGAAAAGAAAAGAAGATAGAGCAAAGAAGAGAAAAGCAGTAAAATAAATCAGATAATGATTTTCAACAGTAAAAAAAAGTTCCACGAAAATACAAGTTGACTACCGTGATATAGTGAGTCACTGTTTGGAATGTCAAAAATCAACACATATGACATCGGAAATACATTTTACAGCACTAAAATCAGTTGAGGTACGGACGGATATTTTAGTCCCGGAACTTATTTACCTTGTGTGCAATGTCATCAAGAATGTCAAACTTTACTCGTTTTTTCTTCACCTCTGCGTAAACCGATCCATTGAAGTACCATGCCGATGAAACACCCTCACAGTCCAACAGGCGCGCGATCAACTCGCCGTTCTCCTTGGTAACGTCATCGCCTAGTCGAATGTTACCGGGGGCCGCCTTCACTTTTGACCGCTTTCGCATTATATGGGCCTTTTTGTCGTTATTTGTCATTTTCATGAGAATGGGTTTTGGTGCTTTACCCTTGGATCCAGGTATCCTGTGACATGCCACAATGTCACATTCGTTAACCTCTACATCCCCTTTCTCCTTCAATACAGATTTCACGACCTCTATAATATCCTCATCTTCTGTTTCCTGAACTCCGTAAATTTTAATATTGTTTTTTCTGCTGTATTGCTCATTATAGTTAGCTTTCACTGTGGCAAAAGTAGCAAGATCGTTCAGCTGATCCATTTCCTTTTTCAGTTCTCTATTGTTTTTGTTAGTTTCGGACAGTTTTTCTTTTAGAGTTTCGTTTTCCATTGTTAATCTATCGACGTCTTTTGTCAGATTATCGATTCTTTTATTTAACAGCGTTTCTCTTTTTTCTGCATTTGCTTCATGAATCTTCAGAAGTCCTTTCACTATATTAGTCACCATTGATTCTAAATCGCACGTTTTGACCGTTTGTTGCAAACATTCTTTAATTTCAAGTAAATCAGCTTTTAATGACCCTATTGTCAAGTCATCTGTTGTTTCAACCGTTTCATTTCTTTCAGTCCCAGATTTACTTTTTTCTGACCCTTTCTTAGTACCAGGCATGTCTTTGTTTTTATTTTGGAGGTAGCGTAAACAAAGTCTTTCACAAGGGAAACCAGCATGAACAAATCGAGGTGTTTAAAAATCGTAGTAAGCAGTACTCACGACTGTGTAGAATCTCCTTTCTTAAAAACACAGATTTCGAAATTCAACTGAAGTGTAACATAAATGATTTTTAAATCTTAGAACACTGCAAAGTCCGTAGGGACTAGAGTCCTTGGACCATTTTATTTGTAATCCAAACAGCTTTTAAACATCACCTTACACATAAAACCAGAATGATATTTGTTTGAATTTATTGGATGCTATTTGGATCTATAGACTGAGTGAGTGTGCTCAAAATTTAAGAAAATAATTTCCTGCAAGTTGGATGACCTGTACTGTACTGTAGTCCTGTATTTGATTTTAAATTTTAGCCTAAAAGATAGATAGAAAAAAAAAATCAATGCTCTTCTTTCAATGCTACAATGAAAGTGAGAAATTTTCAGGCAGGATTTCATGCTCATCAGCGGAGCCAAATGACAGTGGGGTGCACATGATTCTTTCAAACTCACAAAAGATGCCGAGCTCAAATCGGTGACAGTGACACTGTCAGATTCTAAGATCTACTGCAACTTAATGACACTTGGGTTTCCTTTCTGTATTTTCTCAAAAGTCAAATCAAATATAACTACCTCACTGTACGCACAGAACGGAAACAAACACCTGAACATTGTCTATTTATAAATCATAAAATATCTTCCTTCCTGACACTGTATTCAAATAATGATTTTTGGCCACGTTCTTCAATCAAATAAAACAAGATGATCAACAATAGTAACAAGATTGTACTTACTTACTTCTCAAGTGTATGACTAATTACTAGAAGTTGAACGAGTTCACCGACATTTCCTCTGCCTCTTCTTTAACCAAGATGGCGCCAAAGTCTCGCTTTTGCGAGATTGCGATGCGGGGAAGGTGTCAGAACGAATAAAACTGCATCTAGGGATAATGTCAAAATCTCAAATTGTTTTCATTCTGGAAATTTAACATTTCAGGATTTTGATCTAATTTCTGACAAACATACAATAAATATTAATAAAATTAATAAAACAATTTTATAAATTGATTATAAATTTGATCAAATATATAGGGGGGGGGGGGGGGGCGGGTGTCATAACGTTAGTATTACGGTTTTTATACATTTTTAAAAATGATAACATTATCACAGGAATTTACAAGATTTAAGGAAATTAAATGCCCCCTTATACTCCCATTTATTTTGTCAATAAAATATCAGTCTAGATTCTTGTGTATAGATGCCAATTCTTATATAAACGTGTAACTGACTATTTGCACAATGACATATTTTTGTAAATTGTTTATATGGTAATTGATAGATCTATCTAATTGTAATATCAGTCTATTGTAATATTGCACATACATTATATGTTCTAGATATATCAATCCTGTATTAAAATTTTAAAAAGTTGGAAGTCTTAGTTGTTTATCATGTACAGTGTATTTTGTAAACTTCAGTTATAAATGAGAAGCATCTCCATCCCCTCCCCCTTTTTTAATGTCAATAAGAATTCAAAACTCAGCAAAACTGTAAAATGTTGTGAGTTTTAAGAGTTGTCGATCTTTGAACATGTTGAACAACGAATGCATATGCAGTGACAAAGAACTTCACTGTAGTATAGTTTATATGTATAATACATGTAATTAACTCATAACATGATAATTAATTGTTACTATTAATTTTATAACGTACGAGGTATGGGAAGGGGATGATTCTGCAGAAAAAATTTTCACCGCGGATAAAGGCTAATACATGTATGTGTCTGTTAAGACCCCCCCAACCCCCCAACCCCCATCCTTAAAAAAATCCAAGGCCTCATTGAAGAAAGAAAAAATATCAAATATTCAAAAATATCTAGACACAAAAGTTTAAATATGAGATTAAGTTTGATGGGAAAAGCCTCCCGATAAAGGTGTACGGCGAATAATCTCTATTTTATTATTCTTTGTTCAATAAACTAGCATAAATTCTTGAACGTCAACTACATAAACCTTGGCGATATCGCATCAATATCACCATCTTCATTCTGCTGTTAGGAAGTTACCCTTAAGCATATCCAAAAAATCGCGAGTGAAGAAAACGACCTCATCTAAACAAATAGAGAGGAAAATGGAACCAGAATTAAGTCGACTGTCGACTATTATGCAGCAGGACAGACGCCGACTGTCGCTGATGTCTGAGCAGGCAGCGCGACAGTCGGTTATTTTCCAGCAGCCCCGGGGGTCTGTCGCGTCCCGGGGGGTATCTCCCTCCTCGGACTCGTTTACCGAGATGCAGAGGAGAAGGATGTCTGTCAAGTCCCTCAGAAGGAAGTCTATTAACCCCCGCCTGGATCCGCCACCCGGTTTGGAGGGACTTAATGATAAAGGCTTCATTTATGTTAGACAACAGATGGAGTCCGACTTGAGAGGTAAACCTCTAATACTCAGTTCTTGTTACTGCATTAAAATATTTGTTTGACAATCCGTCATTTCAATAAGCATGCGATAAAATCTATAGATAGCAATATTTTCTTTTCCTACTCGTTATTATTTCAAAATTGTCAGTTTTCGTGACATTTCGCAAAATTCAACGTCTTGGGATTTTACAGTGATAAACATTTAAAGAAATAAGCATATCGTAAATTTGAGTGTCGCGAATTTCAGTTCTCAAAAAGCCACACCTTAAACATGTTTAAAATAAAATCTATGAACTAGTTAAGTTCCCTAGCTCTTATAAAATCTTCCAATAATATGATTTTCAACAATAAATTTAAATATTATATAATTAAAATGTAAATAATCTTAGCATTACCTGGAGGGGCAAAAATTTGACAGAAAATGCCTGTTGACTTATAAAATTAATTTAAACCAGAGTTATCTTTCTTATCCGAGTATTTTAAATTATGAGTTTTAATTTGTTTTCTTCCAAGATCAAGGGGAAGGGACAATGGGATACATGAGATACATATCGCGTTTAAAAATACGTTATGTCAAAGTTTTAAGAATATGTAATCCTGTTACTTAAAAAAGAGGTTCTCTATATATTACTATTTATTGAAAAGTTCAAAGAATTTAATAAGATTCACTTAAGGCCTTTTTTCCCGCGGGAATTTCTGGAAAAACTAAACTGTTTGGTTTTAAATATCATTTTAGACCTTGGGTGACCGCGTATCTTTGAAAAAAAATGGTGTAAATTTCTGGCTACTCAATGCATTAAGACGTCATGAAATGTGTAATTTTCCTCATATCCTGAAAAATTAATCCAAACCAGCCAATTTCTTAGTACTTAAGCTATTTTTCGATATCAAATATAAAGCGCAACCTCTGATCTAAAATAGGCATCTATTCAATGATCGAATTGTTTCTGAGCATATCAAAACATGTTATGAATTTTTTTTTAGATCAGAGGGTGCGCTTATAGTTCCGAATTGTCTTTGAAAACTTTCCTGGAGTTTTATGGCAGGTGCCCTTTGTCGAACTAAAATGCACAAGAAAACTCAATATTTACGACTCAAAAGATCTAAATTTCTATAAACACATTTTCATTAGTGCTTAAAAATCACTAACTGGAATGAATTTTTATCTTGCTGCATGTCTGTCCGTGAGCTGTGACGGAGAGTGAAGATTTGTCGTAGGGTTACTTTCTTCTCCATGGCTCATGATCCCACTTCATTCGCATTAGTTTGGGGCAAGGGTTTAAGTTGACTCCGTGACCTTTTATCTTGCATTCACCTGTTTGATAATTTGTGTTACTGATGCAGATTATAGTGAATTTGTTTCACAATCACTCCTCACTGTCAGTATTTGTAAAAACACTTCAATCATTTTTCCTGTCAATAATTAATTAATTACATGCACCTTTTTGCCCCATAATCGAAGATTAGGGTGCATAGTTTTTGCACTGTCCGTCTGTTCATACATGTCCAAGAAGGAATTTGATGTCGATATCGTATCGATATCGATCGTGATTAGCACTATTAATTTGAAATACAATGTCCTTGGTACCATACATGAGACTTTGATATCGTGATATCGACAATACCATGACGATATCGTATCCATATCGATCCTATTTGGAGGTATAACATATTTTACAAGGTCACAAGTGATGTCAAAATCCATTCATTATTAGCATGGATATGAAAATAAATTATGATAAGGAAAGAGTTAGGGGTTGTTATTGTTTTGGATAAAGTTTAGAGTTAGATGTTGAGTGAGGGTGAAAGTTGTTAAATATGTTTTAACAATCATGATTCGATATCGATACGATATCGTCGATATCGACAGTAGGGTAAACGTATTAATCAGAAAGTAAATATGCACAAGCGTTGCATGAAGAAACACAGAACTTATTGTTTTGGGATATGTTAAAAATAAAGATTTTGTATTAAGGTGAAGGCGATATCGATGGCAGGTACAATCTTCGTAAAAGTAAGGTAATGAAACATAAATACACATACAAAGTAACAGGGACGGTATTTATAAAGAGCTGAGCAAACATGATTCGATATCGAAGCGTTATCGTCGATATTAACGATATCGATACTTCAGGGAAAGTTTTATAAAAGATAGTTTTAAGTAACACATGTTAAAAACACAATACTATTTTTATAGATGGAAACCATAATTCTTTGAACAATCATGATTCGATATCGGCACGATATCGTGGATATTGACAGTAAGGAAGACTTCTTTAAACAGAAAGTATTGTAATAAACACACAAGGATAGAGAAATATGATAGTAAACTATAAAAGAGTAATGTGTCGATACCGTAACTACATCTTGTCTTGGATATAACTCCGTCTGTCTAGCTGTTTGTCCGCAAAAACTTAACATTGCCCATAAATTTTATTACATAACATAATGGTAGGGGCTATGGCATTCGTATTTCACAAGACCTTGTAAAAAGGCCTTTCTTTGGCTACTACAAAGACCTTGGAATTTGACCCGCTTTTAAAAAAAATTGAAAAATATTACACCTTAACCATGGCCATAACTTTTGAACAGTTAGTGCTAGGGCTTTCATACTTCATATGCGTATTCATTGTGACTTTCCATGGGTATAAATATTTTTGACCATGATCAGAGTTTGACCCAGTTTTAAAAACTTTAACATTGGGCGTAACTTTTGAACAGATAGCACTTGCGCTTTCATATTTCATATTTGTAGTCTATGTGAAAAGACCTTCCTTGGGATACCAATAATTTTGACCTTGACCTTTGGAGTTTCACTTGCAACTGAGAAACTTCATCTCTTTCAATTAGCTACCATACGGGAGCATCAGTGTTCCACAAACATATCTTGTTATCTAACTTATATAATGTTTTTTTGGTCCATTATTAGGAGGCTGTGGGGCAACAAATACTTACAAGATCTGGAACGAAAGAGAGGAGGAATTATTCTACGTACTGGAAGGTTAGAAAAAATGAGTGTTTATTTGTCACATTAAGTAAAATTGTGTTCATTAAAAGACAAAAATGTACTCAAATAATATGTATTCCAATAATTGACATTCTGGATGTATATGCAAACTACCATTATAAAGTAAGAAGTTTCAAGGTTAACCAAAGAAGATTTTTCATGCGGAAACAGAACTTACTGTGTGAAGTACTAATATTTATATGATATAAAAATAAGAAATATCAACTTTGGCATATTGCAGGCTTTAGAAGCCTATTGTGTTTTATTTTTTTACACAAATGTGCGGTTTTCTAAGCTTTTTATCATTGACTTCGTTCAATATTCCTCGATTTGAAAAGTATTTTAGCAGAAAAATTTTTGAATTAGACTAAAAGAGTAATCACAATCGCAATCTTCACAATCACTAAATTTTATCAGAATATAACCTTGACTCAAGACATTTAGCCTCATTGCAATTCCTAATGACTGTTTATATTTCAAAACAATATACATGTAGATCACATGCATCATGACCATTATTCTTGTCAGATGCCAGTTGTATTTGTCGCTGGTTTTGTGGTCCACATCGCCAGTTTCGACTGGATTTCTTCACACCTCAGGACGACCTCGTTTTCACACTGTACCGGAAGTCCTGCCGCTGTGACTGGTGCTGCTGCCTGGACTGTGTTTTGTGTAATCACAAAGTTTATGTCGTAGACTGCCTGAACAGGACACTGGGATCTATTAAACAGAAGTACGTTTGAGATGAGATTATTATAACCAGTTAAATTTTGGTTATAAGTTATGAAACTGATTCCTGAACTAAATCCGTTTTAGAGGGTAAACGGGGAAGAAGGAATGTTGGCGGGTATAACGAAGTAGTGGCGCTGTGGGCCGTAATAAAACGTAAAGGGTAAAGATGCCGTATTCCTTATGGTCTTCCAATATAAAGTCCAAGAATTGGTAAATCAGGTTTCCGAATTTATTAAAGACGATGGTAAATAACAAACATGGATTTTTAACAATATCTTAGAGACTTAATCGAGTTGGATGTGGCCGGTAGAGCGTCGGGCCTCCAAACTGAAGAGATTATAATGGACATAGATATTTGTAAGATTAAGATTAAACAATCATTGACTTTTGACACTAGTTGAGTTAATTGATGGACAGGTATGTTTCTTTGATAAAATGGACATGAAAGAGGTTATAAAGAAATTGTACAAATAAAGTTATTGGTAGAGGATTAACAAATCCCGAGGTATTAACACCTAACGAGCAAAAGCTATTTTGACAGAGTCACAGTGTCAGTTGGAATGTCTTAATCCTATTTCAAAGGGAATGAGATAAATAAGACACAATTTACTACAAATAAGCACATATTAAAAACAGATAAAGAATTTCACAGATAAACGTCCGAATTTAGTATAAAATATATTAAAAAGTTATTTTAATTCAAAAATGTTAATTTTGCTCGGTGATATTATCTTTAATAATCGTAAACAGTTTCCACTTTTCTATTAATTGCTACCTGCACTATATGTAAATACTAAATGATTAAAACGGCGAATTTATCTAATGAATAATCTATTCATTATGCTTTGGTTCATTCCTTGAGGAATATGTCCATACCTATAGACGAAACCTTTGTATTAAATCGATACCAATACGTGAATCTGCAGTATTATCGTCGATCCTAGTTCCTTTGGAGATCTTGCTTAAAACACCGAAATGTTCACATTCAGTGCCGTACTTTGATCAACATTGCTTAGTACATGTAGTATGTATAATTCATTTTTAATATTTGATTGACAAAAACTTACAAGGTGACTCATTAAGCAGGTCTAAGAGTATGATAGCACTGCAACAGTACTCCCTGAATTCGCTAGTCAAAGCAGATGCTAACCTTTTTGCAGACTTTAAAAAATCGTATCACAAGGGTTTATTTCAGTCCGAGTAAAAATGGCTTTGGATTAACAAAACTTATTGGTGAATGATGTTTTCTTTCAGACTGGAATGGAAGCGCTCAAGTGGGACAGATCATAAAGAAGTGCAATTTTAATTTTACAAAAAAAACAATTAAATAAAATAAAACTAGTACATATATTCTGTATTTTCTAATCTCTCTTTATTAGTACATGTATTCTATACTTTCTATAATTTTTAGTCTCTCTTTAATAGTACATGTATTTGCAGATTTGGGGTTTGTCAGGGGAATTTTGAAGTTATGGACAATGATGGCGAAACCATCGCCAAAATTTTTGGACCTTGTTGTATCTTCCGATGCTGCACTGAAATTTCATTTGAGGTTCGTCTAAAATAGCAAACAATATCCAAAAAGGAAGAATAGCGAACAACTTTCTATTCTTCTCCGGTCTTGTGTGATAGTAGTGAAGAACATTTTAGCGCGTATTGTCTTTTTGCTTTCCTTTTTTTTTTTTTTTTTAAAGATTTGGGATAAAATAGGAGAAGAGAAACTAGGATCTATAAACAAGAAATGGGAAGGCGAGCAGGAAGATGGAATCAACGTGGACCACGAGTACTTTGATATCAATTGTAAGTGTCCATTCTGGCACGAAACAACGAGCTTGAAAACTCTAGAATTTTTTTAATGATTCATTAATGGAATGAAAACCAGTTATGCTAGAGGTGTGATATTTTCAAAAAAGTAACATGCCAGAAGATTTGATGTTTTTTTAAATCGAAACAATGTCTTATTTTTTTGTGTAATATCGGTAGTAAAAATATTTGAGACCTACTCCTTAAAAGCATTACCTGCCAGCCTCATTGAACACAATCTGATATCACGGTTAGAATCGAAATGATTTCTTCTTAATTTTTCAGTTCCCGAGAAGATGAATTCAATAGAGAAAATGTTAATTATTGGCGGCGCATTTCTTATCGTAAGTAAATGGATATATGATACAATTCAAGTTTGCCATTTATATAAAACTTTATTTTTAAAAATGCATATTCTTTTATTGTGTGTGTTAGAACTTTGTTTTGTTTTAAATTCATTTTTGTTTTATTTATTTAATTGTTTTGATTTTTTGAATTTGTTTTATTTTAAATTTTTGTAGGATTACATGTACTTTGAGATGTCATAAGAGGTTGTCTGCACAGTGTTGTCAAAGAAGCAAACACAGAAATTATAGTATTTCTTATTTATTTTAAAGTTTATTTAGTGTGTAAAGAGAGAAAGAAAAAAAGTACATGTACGCTTTTTAAATTAGTTATAATAGATAATTTAAGTGTTTTAATTCGAAAGTTGAATTTATAACAGGTGAAAATTGATTGTTGCATAACAGAATTAAAAGTAATTTTTCTATAGCTTGTACTTTTGTATCAGTCTTTTAATATTTTACTTTATTTTATATCAAGATTATCATTCAGTTAATAAATTGACTGCTTTCAAATTTTGAACTTCCTGTTTGTCTTTTGAAACAATATTTATTTTCCACCTGAGGACAGGATCATGACGCATCATACACCATCTAGAATAGATTTATACAGGTATTTTTGTGTTGTGTAACCAGTGGCAGCCAAGAAAGTCTGGATGACGACTGTGAATTGGGCAGTGACAACCTGGATAGCCAATAGAGTCTAGAAAGACAGGCAACCAAGGGTGTGGAGGTTTAGCAAACCAAAGAACATCTTCCGTGAAGAAGAATCTTTTAGAACCTTCTTAAGACAGATACCTAGAGAGATATCCCCGGATCGGAGTTGGTGTTTCATCGGATGTAATTGAAACGACATCTCAGTCCAAGGACTGAGAGTTTGTATAGTTGTGGAAAGACCTTCAAGAGCGAGCGGGATCTGAAAATACACATAAGAAAGATGGATGCCCCCCGATTTATCGACTGACGCAACGCACAGGGCAACCTGGTGAGACGGAGGAGAAGGTGGTCCAGGAATCTAACCACAGTGACCACAGCGTGCAAGTGCCAGTCAGCGAGGGGACAGCCAAGGGGAAGTCGTAACACCAGAAGAGCAGAGACAAGAGCCTAGGAGGCAGCCAGCAGAATCAGAGAGGAAATCGAAGATTACAGCTGAACACGATTTTTGAAAGGATCGTGTCCGCCATTTTTGATCGGATTCCCGCTATATCTGAGGTCCCCTATATAAAGCGGATGACTTAGTCATTGCTCAGTGTGTCAGTCATCACTGGTGTAGACGGACATATGCTATAAACAGCACTCGATAGCGACAAAAAATAACTGTATAGTTCTTCTTATGCAGGAATGTAAAATACAAAACAACTTACACTATTTGCACAGGTCAGTGCAGTATACAAACAAATACACGTAAGAGCAATGAAATGTTAACAGAGGTAATGCAAGATGACCAGCACGAACACGCAGGTCGCCACTCCAAGCTGATACCCGTGACAGTAAAGTAGTAAGGTGTACTATATGCGAGGAATATACCGTGGTGCTGATATCGTAGATAGTAATATCGAAATGGCGTATATACCTGCCCATATACGAGTCGTGTTCAGCTTTAAGTGGCCAGATAGCAACAATAAGGTAGGATGCGAGAGATTTGATAATGATGTAGACACAATCCTAGACGCATCGCTGACAAGAGGAATAAACAAAAAAGATCGAAGGCATGGTAACTATAATGTTTAACGTAGGATTGGACAGATTTAGAAAGGAGGAAAAGCAGTAACAAAGAGAAGTAGCGCATAAGAAAAGAAGACAACGAAAGATGGATAATCCAGGACGAGAACAGTGACAGCTGGCAAGACGGTTTAAAACATCAGAGGAGGGGAAGACCTGCTTTGACTGAATTAATTCGCGTACGGATATTAGAGAGAAGCTAAAGATCATGAGAGAGACAGAATGAGGAGGACAAGGAAGGAGAGAACCAAAGCAATAGGACGATTTACAGCCAATCCATTCCAATTAACATCAAAAGTTTTAGGCAGCAAAGGATCAGGAAAACTAACAGCAGGAAGAGAGGAAGTCGAACAATATTTGAAGGATATGCATAGCTATCCAAGGAGGGATGAAAATTTACGAGAATTTAAGAAGCTAATACAGTCTGACAATCTAGAACATTTATTTGATGAGAGAGAACCAAAGTTGCATGAATTCAAAGATGTAATCAAGAAGGCTAGAACAGTTTTATCACCAGGACCAAACAGAATCCCATTCAAAATTTACAAGAACTGTACGAGACTAACCCAACGTTTATGGAAACATCTGAGAGTTGTGTGGAGGAGGGGACAGTTAGCTGACAGTTGCACCAAGCTGAGGGATGCTTCACTGCAAAAGGTGTGTTACTTAAAAGCTCGTACCATCATGTGTAAGCAGTTCCATACCATTTCCCTGTTAAACATAAAAGGGAATTTTTTCCTAGCTAGTCTTGCCAAGAGGATGACAACCTATATGCTAACAAGTACATAGGCATAAATGAGCAGGAATGAGGAGTGTCAGAGGTCTCGGAGTTTGAAGGGCATGCAAGTGTTCTGACAGAGATTATCCGAAAAGATAAAGAGATGAAAGGAGAACTGGTAGTTATATGGTTGGATATAGGCAATGCTTATGGTTCCATGCCTCATAAGCTAGTCCAACTTACACTACAGCACTATCATATACCAGACATGATACTGACGCTGCTCAAAAGTTAATTTGAAAGGCCTTTATAACTTTTCATCACTCAGGACTTCACAATAGTGTGACAGCGCCTGGAAGTTGGGATTGTCACAGACTATACGTTATCAGTAATTCTGTTTTCATCAGTCATTGGTTTGATGGTGAAGTCGGTGGAGAAGATAAGGAGAGGTCCATGGATGAAGGTAGGTTTGAGACAAACCCACTGTCAGAGCGTTCAAGGACAAAATGACAGTAAGTACGAGGACCATTATAAAGCAAAATGGACGTTAAAGGAAATAAAAGATATCATCGTATGAAGATCAAACTGACAAAATCTAGGAGCATCGTATTGAAAAAATTGGAAGGGAGAAAAGAGATTATCCCATCAGTCTCAGAAAAAAACCGTCAAGTGCCTGAGAAAGTTCTTTGATAATTCACTGGGAGATAAACAAAATGTCAGAAACACAAGAAATTAAATAGAGATTTGGATAAACATCATAGACAAAAGTGCCTTTCCAGGAAAATACAAGGCATGGATACGGCATACTTCCACGAATTCTTTGGCCTCTACTTGTGTATGATATGCCGCTGAAATCATTGGAATCGATGGATCAACGGATCAGTGGGTACTTTAGAAGATGGATCGCAGTTCCCAGAAGCTTCAGCAACATTGGTTTGTACAGCAAAGGAACAATGCTACAATTACCATTGACATAAATTGTCGAAAATTTCAAGGTCACCAAGGCCAGGAAGTTTCTTGTGTTGCGCGACAGTAATGATTTCAAAGTATGGGATGCAAAGGTAAACATCAAGACGAACAGAAAGTGGTCAGCAAAGAAGACAGTACAAGAGGCAGAGACACGCTTTAGACGAGTCGATATTGAGGGATGTGTGGCAATACTAGTAGGTAAGCAAGGAATAGGAATGATACCATCGATATAAAGGGGTACATCGCCAGAATAGAAGAAGAGGCAACTTGTGCAGAAGGATTGATTGATTGTATATTGTTTAACGTCCCTCTCGAAAATTTTTCACTCATATGAAGACGCCACCACTAGCCGGCGGAGAGCTCCAAATGTTGTCTTATACTCGGCACTCAGGGTCATTGAGCAGGGAGGGGTCTTTTTCGTGTCAGCACCTACTGCTTCGAGCCACTGCGCCACACGGACGAGCCTGCAATGTAAGGAACAACTCCTTACTTTGCAGAAAGAAATGTGCAAAATGAAAGAGCACACATGCAGAACGGTGAAGGCAGTTGGTATGAAGAAGCAGGGAAGCCGGCTAACATGGGAAGGAATACGACAGAAGAAGTTATGTTGGAATGAGATCCCCAGAGACTGCAGTTCCAGCTGAAGTCGGTTTACGTGTTACCAACGCCAACCAATCTGCTGTAGACCAGCCAACCTGGAATATATTCTGCCTTCATCTTCTACAGCCTTTACGTCTAATAAACATATAAACATTTGTTGTACGTGTCTCTATGTATATCTTCCATAAAAAAACACGTACAACAAATGTTTATTTATTATTGTATGCGTGCTTAAAAAGCAAGGAAGAAGGATACGAAAAATCAAGGAAGGCATAAAGTTTGTAAACTTCGTAAAAACTGGTGTACAGGGTCATGCTGGGGTGTGGAAGAAGGCGGACTATTGGGGACCACCAGTGAGTGGAAAATGCAAGCAGATCTCAATGACATCTGGAGGCAGTAGTAGACAACACAGAAACAACCATTGATCGAAGGAGGATCCACCTGTGGCCGGGGCCATAACGCACCATGCACCATCAAGATGTATACAGGTATTTTTTTCAATTGTCATCTATAAATAAAATATCTGATAAATGTTGCGAAAATGCATGTCTACGAAAATACACTCTGAAAGAAGCAGATGCAACCTCAAACATCAATTTCAATTTGCCAAAAAAAAAATTTTAAAAAAGAAAAGGTGTAAACAATTTGTGGAGAGATAATCCTCACCTTATCTGAACGTCATCAATTTTAATAAAAAGAATTTGATCACATCAATAAAATTTATGATAACAACTGAGAAATAGCGGAATCTCAATTAAGATATGCTGAAATACGAAATTATTCATGAAGCAGCTCTGTCAGAATCGTTAACGGGTGTTTAGCATGGTTTCCTCCCCTCACCAACACTATTTGCGGTATATCAAGTCAATTCATTGATAAAAGTGCAAAAGAAATTCATTGTTCTTTCGTTAAATTTATTTTAAAAAGTAGACCTTTTGAAGATATTTCCACTTCTTTCTCTCTCTAAAGTACGTGAAAAACAACATAGTTGGAAGGTATAAAGAAAAACAGCACTAAGACTAATAAATGTCTTGAAGGTCATGAAGAACTGCAACAAAAAGAAAGTATTACATGTAGGATGGTACGATGGACAATACAGATGACACTGATGAAGACATAACAGCCAGAATAGGCAAAAAGACAGGCTTTTGTATAATTTATTGCTAATTGATACTGATCTTATGATGTTTAAAACCAACGTGAAATCTGTTCTTTTAAGGAGCCGAATTTCCGAAACAACAGTAACAGTTGGATTACTTTAAAAACTTACAACAGAAAATCTAATCAATGTTTATATTTATACACTTGCGGAATTTTGAGGCTTGAGACTCTAAACAAGACAGACATCTCAGAACCTGCACTCAGAAATCTTAATAGAGGAACATGTCAATGGATAGGACACACTGTAAAAAAAATTCTGTCAACACCACCGACAGACAATCGAAAAAAGAATGGTCGTCAAATAAATTACTGAAGGCAAAAAATTAAATTATATCAAGCAGAATGGACAATGAAAAAAAAAAATGAACAATAAAATAAGTCCAATTCCATAGACAAAGTACAAATTGGAAGCAGTGCAAACGGGCTCCTGAAAGGAAGAAAACAGGACAAAAAAATGAACAATACAAATATATTACATTGTATCAGGTGTTGGAGGAGTAAAATGTGTTACAGATAATGAACTACCAGGATATATAATTGCGGTGTATAAGTCCAATTTATAAAAACAAAAGCTTTAAAATTATCTATAAAATACATCAGCCAAAATACGACCCAAGCAATCATAGGTTATATTAACAAGGTCATTATTACGACCGCAGATTTTACAAATGCTGATTTAAAAAATCTGAAATTGTAAAATCAATGCAAATCGGTTTAGAAAGTGACCGGATTTAGGACATGCTAAGAACAAATAAATATATATTTTGCAATATACGCATATATATACGTTTTTGTCTCCCAATTGATTCGATACGCACGAGCAAACTCAACATACGATCATTTTTTTTAAAAACGAGGCAAGCTATTAACCAACGAATTGATGAAACACTGATAACAAGTCTCGTTTAAGATCATCATTTCATTAATCTTTCATTAGTTCAAATGCTGACTGCCGTATTTCATATTTTAAACACCGAAAATAATTTTTCCCGTTTATCCGATTATAATAAGAAGCACATGGCGGGTTATCAGGGGATGTTCACTCCTCCATGGCATCTAATCCCGCCCTTAATCCTCATGGAGGTCCAAGTTTGCTATAATCCCGATTTGTATTTGTTAATGGATTTTGATTTTAAATACTATTTTGTATATCATTATATGATAAAATTATCAAATTTTAACCATGAAATTGCCCTTAGTTATCCTAAAATTTAGGTTATATCTGGTGCATAATAAAAAAAAAATAATTTGTTGACCACCTAGCCTCCTTAAATACGTATATCATTATCTCCATTGCCCTTAATTTCAGGTTCACCGGGATATATCGCCTAGGAACAAAGCAATTGAATTTAAATAATGGCATAACAATTTGCAGCAGTCAGCATTCAACCTAACGATAGACATACAAGTATATTGGGTTTGCGAACAAGTTTATCGTATCGACAATAGAAATTGCGAATAAAACTTAGATCGTTGATATCCTTGTATCATCTTCTTGTTTACCAGAAGCCTTCATCTTTTATTTAGTTTGTTTGTACGTAGAACATGCTCATCTCACCTGCATAAACACCATTTGTCTAGTTACCTAATAAGGGAACATTATGATAGAAAAGATGAAATCATTATGTTTGTCATAAAGTTTAATTCTTAGTTTGCCAGTTATGTCTTTCTGTAGTGAAAAATCCAAATATGAAACAGATACGTCGGACTATAAACTGTTTTCATTTCGAGTCCAATGGGATGTATTGAAACAACGAAGGAATGAAAAAGACGAAATTGTCAATCTAAAAAATTCATAAACAATACAAATATGTGAAGAAGGCATAAAACACTCCAGAGGTAGGATCATGTACCTTGGAGGAGTATGTATCCTCTTTGACCCCCTCACATCTGCTGTAAGCCTTATGTATCGAACAAGTAGTTAGAACAGTCCTTGTTCAAATTCAGTAATAATAAAGGGCCTAACAATTGGTACGAAAAAAGTCAACCAAAATATGACTCAGTGTTAAATTATTTTTTACTCACAATGTCATTATAATGACTGTGCCGACTTTGACCAAGAATGTTGAACTCCCTGTGTCGTCAACTTATGTTTCAGTATCCTGCATCGGTTTGGAATTTGATTGTACTCGGAGCATGCTCTCTACTAACGAATAAATTCGGAGAAGAAGAAAACATTTGCAAAGGACAGCGGGATATAACTATTATAGTAATTATCTAATTAGAGGTAAAACAAATTAACTTTTAATAATGCTGTGATTAGATTTCAGTGTCAGAAAAAAATCTCTTTCATATATATACTGTAGTTATAGGAATGAAAAAAATATTCAGCCCAAATGTTATTTGTATCAGATCAACAAGTAAATTTTACCATACAACACGCCCATGTTGCCTGTCTACTAAATCAAGACAATGCCAGCAGAAGTATTGATCGGGCTTGTCCTCCTCTCTGCATTGTGCGGAAAGTCACACTGTGAACATCAACGCTGGCCCAGTTACCATAATACGGATTGGTAATTAATCATCACTGCTGAGTACAAGAAGCAGATCATCAGAAGAACAAGACGTATCGTAAAATTAATAAAAGTAATTAGCATTAATTAAATAAATTGTTCCATTATTCTTTTCAGATATTTCATTTTCTATATTCAGTTTTAGGTGCTACAATTAAGGTTTGGTTGGTATTAGTTTCCTCATAAAGTTTTAAATTTTCCATTGAATATAGAGGGGTAACATATTCTGTAAGTATTCTTTAATACTCCGAAAAACAACACATTCGGGGTTACTTAGCTGATCCTTACGGCCCTTAGACCTCTTGTTAAATCTTTAGTCTAATTTCCTTTTTCTTTATTCACGCCTCTTATAGATTAAAATACATGATGTAGATTTCATATCTGTAAAAAGTATAAAGTTCAGATCTTTGCAATTTAAAAACAAAACATTCATGTAGCCATATACAGTGTATTTCCTTCCCTTCCTGTTTTGTAGTTAATTTACACACAGATATTTGTACCTTTTTGCATTTAATTTAAACCTAATTCACGATGTGAAACGGGAATCCTTAAAATTTTGTTTCGCCTCTAATAAACTCTTTCAACACATAGAGGTGTGAATTAAAAAAAATGCATGAGGATTCTTCCTCATTAACTAGGTCAATTGTTGACCTACTTTCTTGAACTTAAATGTTTCAATATTTTTTTTTCATTTTGTAAAGTTTTTATCCCGCTTTTTGGATCCATCTATACCATGGGAAGGAAAGGGATGTGGTAAGACCAAATCTGAAGGAACACTACATTGGAATGCTTCCATGTGATTTTGATTGTTACTCTGTTGTCAAATTGTAAATTTTGAATTGTACACGAAAATCTTCCAAGATAAACCTGATTAAAGCATATATTGTCCAATGAAAAACATTGACCAGATTTGCTGCTGTTTAAATCTTGCCTTTGAGACCTGCAGTGTCTATTCTGGAGAAGAAACTTTTAAAGTTATAGTCTCTCCTCAAATATATATTTCCTATTAGTATAAATATTTCTTTAATAATTCCCATAAATATCTATTTCCTATTATTATGAATATTTCTTAAATATTTCCCATGGCTTAAATATCTATTTCTTATTATTATTAAAATTTCTTAAATAATTCTCATGTTACTATTCTAAAGATTTCAAAAGATGACACTCCAATGCAAAACCTTAGCCTCTAATCTGTTGGTCCGATGAATAATTTCCCTATAGAGTGCATGTATTTGCACCTTCCATGTGCTTTAAACTAAATAAAAAGGTTTCATTAAAACTCTGGTTAAAAAATATTGTGAGAGCAATTTTCATTGTAGAACTAAAATGTATAGTAAATGGGCAATGTTTGATTTGATTTGTCATACATAATTCCAATTATGTAATTATGAAAGCTGGTATTTTGGGAAAGGTGCACAGAGTGCGTGTGGTGTGTGAGGGTGTGTATTTTGTTTCTTTTGTAAGTATAAACATTTTCAAAAATAAAGCATTAAAAAAAAAAAAACTCTGGTCAATCCTCGTTATCTCGAACCTAATGTGACCGAGGAAAATCTATGATACATGTATATCTATGAGTTTGACATATTGAGAGTTAAAGAAAAAGAGGGAAAGTAATTGAGACTTTCTCGATGACTTTGACTTATCTATGGTATTCGATATATCAGTTTTCGAGATATCGAAGTTCAGCTGTATATCCAGGACCTTTTGATACACCTTATTAATATTTAACACTCTTTTTTTCTTACCTATGTAGGGGTTTTAATTCTTGATTGATTATTTAGGGTAAAATTAGTTTAAACGTTCCGAAAAGAAAAATTAATGTGAAATGTGAAAAGGTAAAAGATAACACAAATCATACAAATCAATTCCAGATAGTTTTCAGAAAAAAATGTTCATATTTCGGAAGCTTCAACACAGGTGAAGATAAAGAAATATCACGTACTTTATATCAACTTCAAGACAGAAAATCTGACTGCAAAGAAAATGGATATTTTTTGAACACATTTTATTTTAATTAATCATGTTCATTTCAAAGAAAAGTTTATTCTATAAAATACAGTTATCTTAAAACCAAATTTAAAAGTTATATTTATAAAAAGAAAAAAAATTGTTAAAAGCAATACAGGTATTTTGTAAAATATAATCAATACTGGTAGTTTACAGTTGAAACTTATTTATCCTATTCATGATAGTATACAAAATACATTTCAATAATTTTTTCAAAACATCATTCTCAAAATGCATTGTAAGCTTATACAGCACATGTTTCTTCACTTATACACACACACACACACCCTGACAGAGGCAACATTCAAGCATGGTATCAAAATAAAAAGAAATTTTATTTGTACATATTTAAAAGAACACAATTAATTAACCTTAAGTAAACATCTACTTTTTCTGAATGCATGATTAATGTCAAACGTACAATTTAATTTTGATAATAACAAATTGAAAGAAAATATATTCTGAAATTTATCATAATGTATACAAAGCGTTCTTATCTCTATTAATTATATACATTTGTATTCCTAATTAACTTTATCATTTTAAGAATGATATTTAAATTGATATAAACAATGTTATGTTTAGATACATGACAAAAGAGGTTTTAAAAAATTTAAAAATGGAATAAATAATTTATAAATGCAATTTGCATCTGTAAAAAAGTTTCATTCTCAGGTAAAATCCGGATGTTTGAAGGAAAAACAAGTTTGTGCAAAGTGAATGCATTGGACATTGGAATAATGCAGACATGTATTAAAATGATCCATATAGCGATTAAGATCTTCCATAACCCAAAATACTGCACACATCAAGAGCAACGAACAGGTCCAAAATAATAAATTCATCCAGAATACCGAACACACCGAAATTACTGCATTCATCAATCATCCCGAGCATTTCCAAAATAACCGGACATATTCAAAATATTGAAAATACCATGCAGTCACATCCAAGATACTGTAAGCACCGAACCACCACTGTGACATATATACATGTACATCCAATTTTAGATACCGAACATATCCAAAATACGGCAAGATGGATAGCCCTGTTAGAAATATCAATGACAAGAGTATTTACAGTGTACGGCAAAGAAAGTACGTGAAAGTATACTGAACATAACTAAACTGTCTTATGCTACTCTTCCAGAGTGTAGAATGCTCTTAACTTTGTATTGTAAATCACTTACAGGAAATAATTGTTGCTGGTTTAAAATAAAGGAACATTTGGTCACACCCCACCATTTTTGACTCATTTCTCGAGTGTTAATAATAATTCTATTATTTCTATGTATATTAAGATTCCATTTTGTTTGACTGTATTGAGTAACGTTGTTCACGAACTGATAAAAAAAACTCTGGGTAAAAATTTGGAAAAATGTATAAATCTATGCTCATATTATGCTGTCCTGCAGTAGCAATACTGTCGTAGATGCGGAGCGTCCATGTAAACACAATTTGCAGCATTTCCATATTTGTTGATTCTACTGATTTCTTGAGCACTAATTATAAATTTATCATTATTTGCCATGTATTTTACGGTGGTTTCAAAAATTCCATCACCAGGTGTTGTTTGTAGTGTGATTTGATACAAAGCACTTTTGTCTATGGCATCTTTTGATTCTTTCGGAACTCTCCCGTCGGTGTCAGCACTACCCAGATAACGCGCTATGTAAGGATTTGATTGTAAAACCATAGCATTTTTGATAGATTTCAATGACAATTCGTGGCATTTTGATCTAAAATTTGTAGTCAAGTTGTTCATAAATTTCACAATTGATTTTGCTGCTTTTTGTGTAATGAGATCATCAGAGGAAGTGACGTTCCATCCTAAGCATGCGCACCAATGAGGTGATATATCTGCATCACTACAAGTACGTTGTTTTGGGATTGGTCTAAAAAGACTCAATCCTCTTGGTAATTTCTCTGGTTTAGTATTTTTCTTCTCAAATTTCATCATATCAAGGAATGTTTCGTGTATATCAAATGGTGTTGTTAATTTACCAGCATTTTCTTTGAATGCTTTAAATTCGGACGGATATTTCTTCGGAAACCACTCTGGAAAGCGAAAAGAAAAATATGGCATTCTTTCTTCGTACTTTCCCTGGATGCTCTCCCTGACTGCGTGAAATCGAGCACCATGATCGCTCATCAGAATCAACACAGTGTTGTTCAGATAGTTTTTGTTCTCTAAAAATTTCAACATGCCCAACAAATCATCGTCAGCCCAATTTAGTTTGCTGGAGTCCTCATGACTATATTCGGAATGAAAAGCAAAAATAAATTTTAACCGATTTTGATACATTTGAAATGCATCCTTTACCCAGTCCATCATAACTTTGTGTCTTCTTTCAGAACCAAGACAAAATGGTTTGCTGTATCTGTGTATCTCTTGTGTAGCTTGGCAGTATGGTCTCCAAAAATGATCAACAGGCTGTTTGTCAAAGCCCAACATTCTTAAATTAAAGGTCCCTATCCAACACATATCTTCTCCCCATTGGGTCATATATCCAGCCTTTTTGAAATCTTTCCAAACCCACGGATGGCCGTCGACAACTTTTGCTCCGGGCTTACCACGGCGGGCTTCCGGAAGTTCGATTTCCGTTTGCCCCGTCAAAATCGGTAGTAGAGCTTGAGGTGTTCCGTCTCCTACGATATTGTATCCCTTGAGAAGAATCCCTCCCAACACTTCTGTGAAGTATTTATGGGTTTTTGGCAATGTCCTTAGCCATGTATTTCTGGACACTGAATCGAATCCAAACATTAGCACATTTAAAGGCATATAAAGGTCATCATAAGTGGCTTTGTTCACTCTCTCATGCACCGTTTTATCAAAAGCAACTGTGGTATGTATATTTGAGTATTTAGGTCCAAAGAGTCCTGACTGGCAAGAAATTTTGATAACATCAGTTGGTGCCTTTATAACACCTTCAGTAAACGTGTGCTTGTCACCCACCTTAAAACTATACTCATCTTTACGATAAATAGGGTAATAATCACAAGAAATTTTTTCATGTTTTGATTTGGCGCTGGCTTTTATCCAAAAGGATCCATTGTTCACTTCTATCCAGTTTTCATTTTCGTCACATTTCAGGGGACCAACATCATAGAAATACTTCATTACGGATGGATGATACGGGTCTAAGTTAGGGTGGTTACATGCCTGATCGCGACTAAGTGAGTAGTTTTTCAGCACACTGTTTAAAACTGCATTTTCTCTAAGTATAGTCTTCTGAGAAGTTCCTTGTTTTACACTGCCAGTATGTTTCAAGGTCATCCAAAGAGAAACGTACACACACAGAATAATGATAATTATGAGGGAGATATAACGTATCTGCCTCCATCCTCGAGAACAGCACCATCTGTATAACCCCATGGAATAGCGTGTTTACACCCACCAAGAAGCAGGAGAGAATCTGTCTGGTCACTGCAAAGAAGAATCGATTTGCATCATTCTGTCTCCCAATATTACGTTATCTTGGTTATTTCAAGTACAGTTCCCTATTGCTTCCTAAATACGAAGTGCCCGTTGCATACAGCTTTTATTTTTCCTTGTTTTAGTTACACTTTATACGTCAAAACAATTGTACACACGTGTGACTAAATAGATTTTTTATTCAAAATGTAATAATTGTTATTTCAAATAAGAAAAATTCCTTTCAAGAACACACAATACCAAAACTGACCTAAAATTTATATAAACATCACATAGACTGTACCTTGTTGTAAGTTTAACCTTCATTAACTGCCATCGTTCATGAGTTGAATAGCGTACTTCCTTCCTCCATATCTGATGGATATGCATGCACACACACAGTTTCACACTTCTCCGAAAAACTAAGCCTTGATCGATAATGGGTATTAACTATATATACTAACAGACTAAAAAAAATAATACGCCATTAGTACATAATTTACACGGACACTGTACTTTACTCGATGTACTAGCGTAAAAAACTGTCCAAAATTTACATGAATTATTTTTAAAACATGTGCGACATTTTCACTACTCGTGGCAATATGCCTTGGGGTCACAACATAGCTACTATTTTTATCTTGCATCGAGATAAGGGCTGTTTACAATGGATTGTGTGCTGTTTAAGATTATGCACACATTATTGAGGCGGTTGAGGAGGCAACGTTAATCATATAGATACAGGTATTGAGTGAAATTAGTCAACGCAAGGATTGTCAGTTTCAAGAAAGACTTCATTCCTAGCAACCTAACTATTTCTTTTCAATGTTTTTCCTCGCCAAAACTGAGTTTAGTACTGGATATTGTTTATATTTATTAGATATTTGCAGGTTATTTAAGATATTTTATATCCACACCTAAAAATTATTTTCAAACAAACCCGTACGTCAGCATGTGCATAATAATGAAACATAAAAAAAAATTGAAAATAAAAACGTCTTATACGCTTAGAATACCTGTCTCACCTTTCTTTTAGATCAGCTGTCTTAAAATTGTTACCTGTCAAAGTCGGTATCATGTATAGGTAGAGAAGTTAGGCCAGACTGACGTTTCTCCTAGTTTCCCGTCTATATGTCTTGACATTTGTTAAGTTAGCGGTGAGTAGAGATGTTTTGTTTGATTGTATGTTTTTTTTATTTGTTTTTGAAAATATTTTACTTTGGTTAATTGTATAAAAAGCATTTAATAAAGACCACGGCAACGCCACTGGTAAAGTTTTATATTAAAAAATTTCTAATAGTGACTGTGAGTTTTCATGAAACTTTTTTTTCCCAATTTTTTCCAAGAAAAAAAAATCCCCGAGATCGGCGGACCGGTACAAGACTGAGGCGCTAAAATTACTCACAGACTAGAAGGTTCTGAAACAATCGAAGTTATGCACAACCATGAGTAACCACATTCATCAATTACTCTTGCCTTACGCTACAAGCATCTGGTGCACACGCGCAAGTGGTGTACATATTTTATCAGACTCAGTTGGCATTGTGTAAATAACGGGCTGGAGTCATGGACTGGGGTCAAATGTTCACACTAGAAATCATGTGTACTGTGCAACTTCCATTATATAATATAAAATACTGAATAATTTATACGTCATTATATACTGTACATTTATTATAATACATATATGGTGCTTTTAGCATAATGTATGATCATTTAAACATTGCACTAGTATGCAGTTAGAGTAAAATTATACATGTGCAATGAAAAAATGCAGTTTGAGGCATCTCTTTTATGATGATGATGAAAGTATTATGCATGGTCCTTTGAACATTATGTATTGTAGATTTCACAAGACGTTGTGGTCTATGGTATTTCTCTATGTTTGCAATAATGCAGGTACATGTAGTCTTTGATCAGTTATAGAACTGTCTTTCTTATCATTGTATAAATCTTTTATGCCTTCTGGGCCCAAAATTTGAAAATGAAATAAATATTATTATTTTATAATACTTTTCTTATACATGAATATAACTAAACGATCAATATTGCAGCTTGGCTTGTCTCTCATCATGTACGAATACTTATTACTATGCACATATGGCGAAAGAAAAAAATCTACAATTTGCAGCCTAAATAAACTGTAATGAAAATCGATTAAATATTATAGTTTGCAGCTAAGTGTAAAGTTTCACGTTACGTCTCGATCTAGTTGACAGCTGCGCTCAAGGTAAATTATAGCGTCTTTCAATAACTAGGTTATCTTTCTTGAAAATCGGAACTCTTTTGTGTTAGAAGATTATCTATTTGTAGGGTCCTATAGTCGTGCGTGCCCAGTAGTCGTGCACCATTTTGTTTGTTGTCAAAAGTTGGTCACGTGCTATGATATTACGTCATACACAACAGATTTTCAAAGAAGAGAGAAGGCAGTACTTACTCCAAAACAAAAGTTAAATATGCGGAAGAAACATTTATCAATTAATCAAATAAACATAAGCATCAATAAAGCCGCCATTTCGCTAATACTCTTTTTTAAGTTTCTAAATATATACTCTACCTGCACGGAAGCACCACCTATGGACGCAGCGAGCACATGGCTAATTAGCATAATCATACGTGATAGTCACTGGGTATTTTATTTTTTTCCTTTTGTCAATAATCCTAAAAGATGACTTCATAAAAATGCTATATTCCTTATACTGAAATACGTAACTATGACATAGGAATACGTGTAAATAAGGAGTGATGAAAAACTTATGACTTATTTTAGAAAAACAATCGTAAATTAAATCAAATAAATTCTAAAAATTATTGAATTGATCCTTGAAGAATAACATTTTAGTCACCTGAAATTTGTTTTTATTTTGTTTTCATTTTTCTTGACCCAATATGTGCTGCTACATTCGAGCGCACGACTACTGGTCAACAAATATGGCCGACGTAAACCTCACTTGTTTTGTGCCCCGATATTAAATTTAATAAAGCACTTAGAAATATTTTTAATACGAAGAAAATTAGACAATTACACAGTAAATCAAAATATAAGATGAAATAAACATAAGTTTCGTTTAAATTGTACTTAGCACTGATACTCTCTTAAGAGCACGACTACTGGGCACTCGAGGGTACTTCCGGTAGGTAAAATTTGTAGACAATCTTTTATAAACAAGTAATAAATTCGGTCATTTGTGATAGGAAAATTATACTGTTGCGCCACGAACTGTCACAATTATAGTGGGAAAAGTGTTCAGGATAGAAAAGTGATATTACATAGATTTCCAATTAATAAAATACATAAAATGATATGGAAAAACCGTGTCAGCTGCAAGAATTGGAAGCCAACAAGTTGCTCTAGACTATGTTCCGAGCATTTCATCTCGCTGTCTGGTCCGACGAAGGAGCATCCATTACGATCTATTTTTCATCACAAAATATTTAAGACTACAAACGTATGTATTTTTTAAAATTTATCAGAATTATGTAAAATCAAGGACGATCGTATATACCAATTTAAAGTAAAGGTGCAACGATACGATTAGAGCATGTAAAGCAGCGTACCATGATGTATGGTGATACAATGATGTTGTATCGTGATACGTATTGTGATATTAATTTTATGTTCCCTGTGGTCTTTAGTATAAACTGAATTTCTCTGTTTATTATTATTATCAGGTTATTATGTGAAAGTGTAAGAATTTTAGATTTTTTCATGAACTTGATAAAGTTTACATTATATATTATGTAACATTGAATTAAATAAGCTCTGAATACAATATATAAAAATCAGAAGTAAATAAAGATTATCATTTTAATGATTTTGTCAGGTTTAAAGTAAAAGAACTTCATAAATTGCCTAATGTGTTATTTATCATGATACACAGGTGTACAATTTTGTACCATGATACGGTGCAATGTTTTATGTATCACCACATACTGGTATATTATTATACTGTTACACAAATATTATATACATATTTCCTTGAGGCTAAGAAAAAATCAATATAACTTGTAATCTATTGAATGATGTTGTACACCTTATTTGTATAGATACTTATAGTACACATAATACGTTTGTTTTCAGTTTGACCAAACAGCGGAGGTTTTAACAAGAAAATACAGTGAGATCAGATTCATAGACTTCAGAGTCTGATTCTGCTGAAAACCCCCGTTTTACTGTTGATGCAAACCAATCTGTATTGGATACATCCGTATTAATGCATGATTACTGTTGATTGATAGAAACATCAACCTTATCTCATAAAAAAAATCAACTGACACAAACTGATGTCCAACAGAAAAACAATGTTTGTATTTAGACAATTGAAAGTTACCTAGACGCATACGGGAGTAGTACTGTCTCTTCAAAAAAAATTCTGTGACAAAAGCACTAGTACAACCTTACCGTTTATAACAGTTGAAGGCTTGAAACAGGACATTTCATTTTATACTGGTCTGCCAAACAAAGAGAGAGACTTTTTATTTATTATTCCAACATCTGTCAGACTTTCATAAATGTACAGTTCCTTATACTGGAGGAAGACCCAAAATATGAGAGATATTGATGAGTTTTTAATGGTATTACTAGTAATGCGTTTAAGGTTAGGACTCTTAATTCAAGATTTGGCTAAAAGATTTAATATATATGTGTCAACCTGCAGTAAAATTTTTAATGAATGGTTAGATTTGATGTATCAGCATTTAGACTTTTTAGTAGCTTGGCCAGAACGGAATGTTATCAAAGAAAACATGCCAGACAGTTTTAAACGAAGGTACCCAAATTGTCGTGTTATTATTGACTGCACCGAGATCTACACAGAAACTCCTCAGTCACTCTCCAACAAAGGAAGGATGTATTCAGACTACAAGTCACACATGACTTGGAAAGTGCTCATTGGAAATAGCCCTAGTGGAGTGATTACACATGTCTCCGATTTATGGACTGGAAGTACATCTGACAAACAAATCACAAAGTTGTCAAAATTAATTGAAAAATGTGAACCTGGGGATGCAATAATGGGTGACAAAGGCTTCCTCATTGCTGACCTATGCACTCCAAATGGAATTCATCTCATTATCCCCCCTCTAAAGAAACATGGAAGGCTAACAAAATGTGAAGTGGAAAAAACCAGACGGATTGCAAATTTAAGAATCCATGTGGAACGAGCAATGGAGCGAATAAAAAACTTCAGAATTATTCAAGGTGTAGTTCCAATATCACTTCATGACAAAGTGTCCAAAATAGTGTTTGTTGTGTGTGCTCTCTGTAATCTCATGCCCCCACTTATTCAGTCATAGTATAATCTATCATGTAAATCATAAAATGTATCTTTCAGAATAAGCATTAAGTACTTCATTGTGCAACATATTTCATGGTTTGGTTTGAACATATTTTATTGTTTTGATGTTACAACAAAAGGATTGGACACAAGTTCTTAAAAACGTAGAACGTCCTCTCCTTATTTCATATGTAGAGGAAAACTTGTTAAGTAGTTATACCGTTTAATAAATAGCAAAAATCTACGTGCGTCTTTACATTATTTAAACTTCAGTATGTCAATCATGGGCAAGTAAGAAATCAAGTGTTCCAAAGATCATAGCAATGATGAGCCAGAACGACTTCATTCATTTGCACTGCCATTTCTTATGTCAGAAAATCTTTTAAAATTCTACATTTAAAAAGATTCAGAAAACTATCAATCCATGTTGACTGTTATTAAAGTTAATGTAAGAATCAAGTTTTTAAATGCATCATGTCCTTGTATCATTGCAATGATCTTTGGCCTAATGTAAAATTTATTACTAGATTAAGAGGTAATGTATGTACCTACATTTAGAAAATAAGATAAAATACTCCGTTATAAATTTATTGATCAGATACTCACAAGTATTACAAAATATGTTGATTATGACACAAGGATACAAGAGTACATGTACACATATTAATGCACGGTTATGTCATACCTTATTAAAGACCTTTAGTCACATATGTCAGTACTCATAAAAGTTTTAATTTAAGACCCCTTTTAACTCTGCCTGAAAAAAGCTCAGGAACACTGCAGAACAATAAAAAGAATTCAGTTTTGGAAACATTTCTTTTTCCAAAAGTTCCTCATCATATATATTTTTTTTTTCAAATTCGAGACCTTTATTTGTCCATATAATAAAGTGACACCACTTTGACTGATGGCCATTTCTCCTTGTACCTGATAATAATATGTGTGAATTCTCTTCAACTGTAAATTTCCATTTTCCTCTAAGATACAAAAAAAAATTGTCACTTAAAGCCGCTTCTTTGGGATGCACATCTTTAAAGCTGTAGGGACACTTTACTTCAATAACACCATGGTAAGGCTTGCAGTGAGGACAGTATACTAGTCCATTGGGGCTGGCACCTAAATGAGGTAGCGATTCCCTGACAACTAGTCCAGTCTCCTGGAATGCCAGTGGTGGATGTATCTCCCTCACCTTGAGCAGGTACCAGTCAATGGCAACTTTTTCATGTTCTCTTCCCCATTCAACTGCTTTGTTTGAAAAAGATGGACAGTATCCAAGAATATACTTTAAAAGTAGATTGTCAGGTAAAATCTCTGGTTTTCTCCGTACAATTTTACCAAAGTCTGAGGCAGTTAGTCTCCAATGGCTTGCTTCTCGCCAAATTGGGTTTATGTGTTGACCTTTAGTCATTTTATTAATAATTTCACATTCTTTTACTGAAACCTGAAGTGAACCAAAATATTGCATAAATTGTTGTTTACATTCATCAGAAAAAAGATTAACAGTGTCCATGTAAGAGAAGGTTATATGGTGAAGTTCAGCTATTGATTTTGCAGCGGGCGGTAATGTTTCAATATGTGTAGTTGAAAAGTTTTTTAGCCAACCTGCCACTGGATTTATTTTTGTAAGATTTTCTTTAAAGATGGTAAGGTTAGGTCTGGATTTTTCTCGCTGACACTATATGAACATGATTTGTTTTTCCCCGTCGTCTTTGTTTTGCTGAAATCCATGTCCTGCGCCATTTTTGGTGAAAGATTTCTGCTACGTGGTTTGATCCACTCGCATGCTTTTGAAGTTGGGGCAATTTTACCGGTGTGTTTTTTTACTGATATGTCGACGATTCCATACAATAATGCTGCGATAGGGTTGCAAGCACCTCTTTCTCTAGAAGTGAGAAAAAAAGAAACTAGATGCTGTCATGAGACAGTAATACCCGCACTATGGTGTTTGCCTCTAAATATACACTCATTCATATTGGACTTTCCAAGGAAGAAGTCAAGATAATTCTATAATTATCACCGTACATGTATTCGTCAAATTGAACATAAAATTTTCAGATGACCATATGATCTCTGAGCCTCATATATGTATTTTGAATACTTAATTCATTACCAGTCTGAAATAACAGAATTTAATTCAGGTGCGTAGCCAGCTTGGAAAAGATGTGTACGCAGATAACGGTCAGAGGTCTGGGGGCCGCCCTGAGGCCACCAGTGGGTCCAGGGCGAAGCCCTGGTTGGGGCACAGGGGGCGAAGCCCCCGGAAGCTCGTGGATTTTACTAAAAATTTTAGTCATTTTCCCGGAAAAGAAATCACGCTACATCTCTTCTCGAGCAAGCACTTGGCAAAGTTATACTTCCATGGATACTTCAGAAAGAGAACGATAATTTAATCAAATCAATTCATGGAGATTTTACATGTAGTATTGGAAAAAAGTTTACAAGTGTGACAAGATAAACAGAGAAATAATTTCAATATCGTAATCATTGTAGTTTAAATATTTCATTAAAAAAAAACAGGGGTGTTGGGACGGGTGGGTGCATGTCTCATTTTGATTCCCTTTACATTCTGATAGCTTAAACAATGTGAGAATGCTTATAATATAATTTTATAAATTGGTAACATCAGTAACAGAAGATATTCATACATGATCTACATTATTATTTACTTTAGCGTAATTTAAATTTTACCATTTTTTGTTTAACGACATTTATTCATTTTACCTCAACGGATCCGAAATTGAAAATCTTGCATAGTCGTCTTCTTGTAACTTTTTCTTTAGATCAAAGTCCTTTAGATCGCTTTCCTTCATCAAATATTTGTCCGATAATCAGGATTACGCGGATAAACAGTTGAAAATTTTTGTTCAAAAATATTTTCTCCCTCAAGAATTTTGGAAGATGTTTTTGAAATAGATTGTTTAAAAGACTAAATTTAACTGTAGAGATGTGCTGAACAAAATTTGAAAAAAAATAAGACGCAAGATAATTTGAAACACGGATACTAGCGCCTTTTTTTCTCGAATAAATCTGTCTCTTTCTTTTTTTCTTTCTTTTATTCTTTTGTATTTTTTTTTTGTAAATGATGTGTACGCACTTGCGTATAGGCAGCTACGCGCCTGCAATTAATGATTGAAGTATATTACTTAATTAGATTCAAATAAATAATTTTCCCATAATTTGGAACTTTTTAAATTTACTTTCTCAACGACATAAAATATTATTTTAGTACAAAGCGTTTTTGATGAATTTATCAAAATGTGCAAACTGATTTTAGTATTTGGTCGGGGAAAAAAACCCATTGAAAATACAACCCGATTAATTTGTCCATGCCTATCTCCCCCCCCCCCCCCCCCCCACACACACACACACTCTCTCTCTCTCACTCTCACATTTTTTAAAAAACATAGTTTATTATGATAGTTTGAAATTTGTTCTTGCACTAAACAGTTTTATTTTCTACATTCACATTGGGTTTGCGTCACCCATTATCATATTTATAGATATCACCTCTCGGCACACCTCGGCCAATTCATACTGGCAACGGAATCAGCAAAGGTTTGTCGAATGAGATTATTTAGCACATGTATGCTGACGATGCAGTGTGGTCAGTTAAAATCATTTGTGTTTTAATTGGATTATATGGATTATATTTCATGAATTCGTTGTCACGACCTATGACATTCGGTAAGTACAAGATTTCGTATAGATTGCATAAAAATAAATAAATGCAAATGGTTAGGTTGAAGTTCAAAAAGGGTCAAAGATCATCGCATGCCACAGTCGACAAATTTCACATTGTCAAGTTATCTACCGTTGCGGACATTCAGTATATACAGACGCAGATCCAGAATTTTTTTTCAGAAAGGGGGGGGTGTCACATCTCAGTCAAAAAAATCAGCCCAAGATTTCCTGAGATGGAAATAAAAAATAATGATAAAAACAATGATGGTGGAGTCCCTGTTTTCTAAGGGGGAGGATGTCCAAAGTCATTTTTATTCTCTACAGTGCATATATAGTCTTATTTAAATAACTGCTAATTCCAGGGGGGGGGGGGGGGGTCTGATCTCCCTAGCCACTGACTCCCTGTACCTGAAATGACAATTGATCTTATGACTCCATAATAGTAGAAAATTTTTTCATTTGACTATTTATACATATTTTGTTTCCTATGTTTATGTAATTTTGTCTGTCCAAGGAAACTTTAACCTTGCCCATATTTTTTAAGTGGATTGGGCTATACACATGGCTTCAATATTTCATAGGTAAATTTCTTTTGGCAAAACCTTTTAATGGGTACCACCAATTTTGACCTCTTGATCCCTTGACCTTGGAGTTTGACCCAATTTTACAAGAAAAATACCTTGAACTTGGCCTAAGTTTTGAACAGGTGGTGCTAGGACTTTCATGCTCTTACATGTGTAATCATTGTAAACTTTCAACAGGTATAATTATTTTTGACCTAGACCTTAGAGTTGAATCAAGTTTAACTTTAACCTTGGCAATAACTTTTGAACAGGTGAGGAAGTTCTAGGGATTTCTCCCTTTTTTCACATGTGTATTCCTTGTGACAAGACTTTCCCTTTGATACCAACAATTTAGACCCTTTGACCTTGACCTTGGAGTTTGACTTACATTTGAGAAACTTCAACCTTTGCCAAAAGCTGCCATAACAGTTGCTGTCACAACAAACAAACAACTTACTAAAATAAAACATAGAATACATGTACATATTTTATATTCAACAAATATACATCTGGTCATATCTCTAGTTTTCCCTTGAATGAGACATGGTGATATAAATTTTAAAAAATAATTATAAGAGTTGAAAAGGTTGTGCATATTGAAATATACTAAGCTATGCGGATGAATTAGATATACCTGTTTAGCTTTATTTTGCTACCCAAAGCACCTTGATTAACTATTTATAAGCATACTGTTTTCTGAAATGTACTGATTTCTGTTGTCCATCTGTTTATCTGCAAACTTTTCACATTAACTTCTTAAAAACCACTGGGCTAA